ATTCCCAGTATTCACATGGTGGCTCACAACCATCTGTAATGGGATCTGATGTCCTTTTCTGACCTCCTCTGAGACTAGGCATGCACCAGCACATACATGTGTGCAAAACATTCATACACACAAAAATAAAATGCATCTAAAATTTTTAAAAAAGTTACCTCTGTTTGTCAGTGGTGTAGCTGGCTATTCGAATATTCCCTTTCCTCCTTCTATGTACTTTCCACTTTGTCTAAATTGGATGAGAATTCCTGTTATGGTCATAAAGAAAACTTATAAAAGTATACTCTAGTTAAAACAAAGACAGTTGAAGTAGTAGAAAAAAATAAAGGTTTTGATCACCAAATAGTTTCAGGTATCACTCTTGGTTCTGGAATATGTACTGTAGAGATGCTTAGGATTTCCAGACTCCCTGGTTCTCTACTCACAGAGGACTATTCCTCCTCTTATTTGGATTTGTCACATGATGTTAAAATAAAAAAAAATCCATGAAGATCACATAAGAGATATGACCTCATCCTGCCTGAGATGTGATGCTGTTTCCTCATCTCTAATGAAACACTTTATGCAAATTATGGGGCTGTAGAGATGCTTCAGCACTTAGGAATGCATACTGCTCTTGCAGAAGACCTGAGTTCAGTTCCCAGCATTCAGTTCACAACCATCTGTTAATCCATCTTCAGACTTATCCAGTACCTCTGGCTTCCACAAATCCTCTGCATACATGCATGCACACAGATATGCACAATTAAAATAAAATAAAGTAAAAATTAAATATATGTTATAATGTAGAATAAATAATAAACTATTGTGTATTATAAAGTCAGTGATAATTTAAAGAATAATGATTCCTAATCGAGGCTAAGTTTTGATTGCCTCTTTAATTTGTCCTCTTTTTCAAAAATAAAATTGAGGAGTCACAGAGATTGCTCAGTGGTTAAGACCATATGCTGCTCTTCCAGAAGACCTGAGTTTAGTTCCCCAATCTATGAGAGGTGTCTCATAACCACCTATAAATCCAGCTCCAGGGAATTGAATATCCTCCTCTAGTCTTTGAGGGCACATATATACACACACTCACACATACAAATGAATAAAAATAAATCTTTAGAAAACTTAAATATTTTGGAAATGTATTTTAGTAGCTATTCCATAAACTAAACTTTTTGAAACTTTCAAGCCTGTATTCTACCTGTAGAGACTATGTATGGACTTTGTTATACCAAACAGTGTCCACTGTAAAGAAGTTTTTCATTTCAATCTCCAAGAATCTTTGGAGGAGAAAGCATTGAAGTGTTGTGTTACCATAATGAAATACCTGGACAACAAACATAAAGAGTAAAGGATCATTTTGCCTCATAAGTTTAAAGGTCAACTCCATGATGGGGCAGGTTCATTGCTTTGGGCCTCTGGTGCAAGTGCTGGATGACAATGACAGATAGCCTCTGTTGGATCAATATGTTCATCTCATCAGCTAGGAAGCAAATGGCGAGAAGATCCTGGTACCCTAAAACCCTCTAAAGGGCTTATTCCTGAGCATGCAAGAACCTCCCACTAAGCCCCATTTCCCAAATTTTTGTACCACCTACCAATAGTGTTTTCATGTAATAAGGAAAACAGTACGTCTTTACCACATGAACCTTTGGGGTTCATTTAGACTATACATAGTAGTCTTACTTCATTTAGACCATACATAGTAATATACTATAGTAGACTATATGTAGCACGAATCTTGAAAGGTCTTATTAATAAAAACAAACCTGGAGCAGGTATTGGGGTGAATGCTGGAAGATCAGAGAAGCAGAACAAGCCGCAGCCACCACACCTTGATGATTCCTCAGCTGATCCTGTTTCCTCAGACTGGAGGCCTTTGAGTCCTTATCCAAATGGATCTCAGCTGAACTGCTTCTTGAAAGCCTGAAGCTTAACCAGGCTAAAAGATTAACCAGCCTCTAGTTCCTGGTCCTCATGCCTTATATACCCTTCTGCTTTCTGCCATCACTTCCTGGGATTAAAGGCTCTTGTTACCACGCCTGGCTGTTTCCAGTGTGGCCTTAAACTCACAGAGATCTGGATGGATCTCTGCTTCCCAAGTGATAGGATTAAAGGCATGTGTGCCACCATTTTCTGGCCTTTATATCTAGTGGCTGTTCTGTTCTCTGACCCCAGATAAGTTTATTAGGGTGCACAATATTTTGGGGAACACAATATCACCACAACTATACATAGTAGTTTGCACCCATTTAGACTATACCATAGTAAATAAACAACTGGAAAATGTTACTTATAGGTTTTATAAGTTTTTATAGGTTGGGGGGATTTTGTAGATTAAAGGTGTGGAATAATTTCACTCTTTTTCTTTCTTTTGAAAGAAATACTTGAATATAACAAATTGACAAAAAACCCTTCATACATTTGATGTAAAGAGAAAATTTTTTTATGAAGGATGGTAGCTATACTAATCTGTGGGTCTAAGGATAAGATTCAGAATGTATTTAGGAATTATGCTAGTCTAGCAAAATGGTGGCAATAGAGTCTCTTCTAAGATCCATGACCTCACTTGCTGTGGGAATTTGGCTAGGTGTCTAGTACCAGGCATGATTTCCCTCCTGTTGAGTTGGCCTTAAGTTCCATTAGACCCCTGTTGGTTACCACCAAAATATGAATGCTACTTACTGGACCTTTATGGATATCTTATCATTTGGGTCATTGTTGTGGGTCATAGGTTCCATGGCTGATAGGTCTATTAACTGCTTCTCTCCCTTGGCAGCTTGCATAGTATTTTCTGATACCACTGAAGCTAGCCCACAGGAAGGAGGCTCTCAGATTAGATCCAATTCAAATCCAAGTCCTGTTTCCTAAATGTGTGGTATGTTCAGCAATAGGGGCCCACCCTCAAACTCTGAGAAGCAAGCAAGGGCAGTTGCCATAGTCTGGTTTGCTTGGGGGTCACTTGAACTTCCCTGACAAACCATTTGAAAGGAGATTTCTTATACCTGGTACTGGAGTTTTTGTTAGCCTATAGTTATTATGGGGAACCTTGTCAGCCCTTGTGGCACAACTTCCTTTAGTGCCTCTCTCTCTCTCTCTCTCTCTCTCTCTCTCTCTCTCTCTCTCTCTCTCTCCCTCCCCCCCCATTTGCACTTACATATATTGTGTATGATTTTAGGGGAATGTAAAATAATGTTTCCTTGAGGCTTTATCAAACAGTCTCGGTGGTGTTATTTGTTCTCTCCTGTACTGACCTCCCACACTCTCCTCAGTTGGAGCACCCATCCTATTTTTCCATTTCTTGTTTCATATAGCCTGTATCCTAATATTTCCCTCTCATGCTCTCCAATGGTCCATTTATACTTTTTATTTCTGTGGTTACTCCATGTTGTATACTCAATCTGAAGATACAGAGCTAGGAACCATAGATGAAAGGGGATATGTGGCATTTGCCTCTCTGGGGCTGGGTTACTTCACTCAGACTCAGTACAATCTTTCCGAGGTCAATCCTCTTACCTGCAAATTTTATAATTTCATTTTTTTTGCAGCTGAACAGTATTCCTTGTATATGTGTACCGTGTGTGTGTGTGTGTGTGTGTGTGTGTGTGTGTGTGTGTGTGTGTGTGTCTGTCTGTCTGTCTATCTGTCTGTGTGTCTGTGTCTGTGTCTGTGTCTGTGTCTGTGTGTGTGAGTATGCACACACGCACCAAGTATGAGTCCTTTATTTAAGCCAGTGACTGACAGCAGGCTCCTGCCACGAATAACTCTGCTCAAAGAAAGCTAGAATAAGGTTTTTTTAAATGTACCAGCACATTTCCATTATCCATTCATCTGCTGAAGTGCATTTAGGTTTTGTTTCCATGTCTTAGCCATTGTGAAGGAATGACTTTGGGGGTTCTTCATACTGATTTCTAGAGTGACCGCACAAATTTGCATTCCCACCAACAGTGAATGGAGATTTCTCTTTCCCCCATAACCTCACTTGTTGTCCATTGTTTCATTGCTCTTGGCTATTCTGGCTGGGTTAAAATGAAACCTCAACTTTGAAAATATTTCCATCTCCCCATTTGCTAAGGATGATGAACACTTTTTGTGGTATTGATTAGCCATTTTTATTTCTTCTAGTGAACTCTTTATTTAGATCCCTAGTCCATTTTTCAATTGTGTCTTTTGTCTCCTTGACTCTTGTTTTTTTGAGTTCTTTATATATTTTGAGTATTAATCCTCTGTCAGATGTAGAGCTGGAAAAGACAATTTCCCATTCTGTGAGTTTCTTCTTCACTTAGTTGTTTCCTTAGGTGTACAGGAGCCTTTAGTTTTATGAGGTCCCATTTGTTGACCTTAATTCTGTGGCTAACGGAGTCCTGTTCAGAAATTCCTTTTCTACACCTATAACTTGTAGGGTACTGCCAATGTTTTCTTCCAGTAGTATTGTGTGTGTATGTATTTTAGTGTTTCATATTTCAAAATAAGGTATTTGGTCCACTTATATCTACTTTTTGTACAAGGTAATAGACATAGGTATAATTTTATTCTTTTATGTGGGCATCCTGCTTTCCCAGCACCATTTGTTGAAGATGACGTCTTTTCTCCAAGTGTATGTTTTATTGCCTCTGTCAAACATCAGATGGTTATAGTTACAAGTACTAATATTTGGATCTTCTAGCTTGTTCCATTGCTCTACATGTCTGGTTTTGTGCCAGTAGCATATTATCACTATAACTCTGTAATATCTCTTGAAGTCTGGAATGGTAATCCCTGAAATATTCTTTTTCCTTAGGATTGCTTTGACTATCCAGGTTTTTTTTTCTGGTTCCATATAAATTTTTGAACGAGACCATGACAGAATACCACAACTGAACACAATGTAGTAGAGATCAACAGATCATGGTGAGCCCAGCCCCAATGGATACATCTACATTACAGCTCCTGCACTTATGGCTCAGAAAACATCAGTGAAGAGAAGGTTGAAAATTTATGTTATAGGCCATGAAAGAAAGCTACAGACCACCATGGATATAAGACCAGGTATGAGTCCTTTATTTAAGCTGGTGACCAAGAGTAGGCTCATGCTACAAAGAACTCCTTGCCAATAGAAAGGCAGGGTAGGCTTTTTAAAACCTCAAATCACAATCACATCATACTAGAGGCAATTGGGGGTGTGGTCAAAAGCTTCAAAGGTTTCAATTAAGTTGTTTAAAACAATTTCTTTTATGTTGTAAAACAGTGGACCTCAGAAAGTGGTAGGTGCTCAGCAGGGTGTTCTCAGCAGGGGACTAGGAGCAATTGGGTGAAGTTAGTTAAAACTGGGACAAAATGAAGTTACTTTGGGCAGTTTAATTTTAAAAGCCAGAGTAGCAGGAAGTCTGTTATGAGACTGCCTCTCTTAGAAATGGCTGCATAAATAAGATCTGAAGAATGGCATTATCAATCAACATGCTAATGCAGAAAAGGGAAAGCCTCACGGAATTGCACCCCTGGACAAGGAAGTATAGGCAACTGACAGCTGCTAAGAGAAGGAGAGTCATCCTCTCCATGGATGAGTCCACTAATTGCTTGTCCCGTACAAAGTGGTCAGCCCTGAAACCATATACACAGCAAAAATAGCCTCAGCAGGTTATATTTATATATTTGTAAACACACACACACACACCACGAGAGAGAGAGAGGGGGGGTCTATTCAACTCATGCTGTGGCTGGGGTTCATTTCTTACAGCATACAGACCTAGACTGGACTGCCAAAAAGTTTGAGGAGAGGAGTTTCAAGAAAGTTCTGTTGATGCTCTTGAATCCAGACCCCCCTTCCTTTCCTTGTCTTGCAGAGAGGCCTGGCATGCTTGGAACTACATTTCTGTCTCTAATCAGTGAGACATTTATCCACATTGACTACTTTCACTCTAGTCTCATTGAAACATCACAACGATCCATAAACTTTGCTTGTTCCTTTATCTCCTCTCTTTGGTCTCTCCTCACCTCCCTCTCCTCTCCCCTCTTCCCTTGACGCTCTCTCTGAATGTTTGTGTGTTTTCTCTCTTGAATGAGCTAAAGGCAAATTCCAACCACTTGATGATTTTCAGAACATTTTGTTACTTTGTTCTAACTCAAGAAAACAAAGGTTGTTACATGAGTGTAGTCAAACTGGGCAGAAAGGGCTCAGCCTATGGCATGGTTCTTAGTTCTACTCGGTTTCCCAAGGTAACAGCTGAATGTCTCTAGACAAAACTTGTACCCCATTAAGCCTCCACAACTTCAGAGAGCTGGTGATTCTGAGATCAGATAATTTCTTGAGGAGTGGGGGAGGGGAGAGGAGATCTGATGTAGCAAGTACAGAGAAGTACAGTGCCTGGTTTACAGTGGTCACTCGGAGCTCTCAAAAAAATAAAGAACGCAGTGTAATGTAACCAATACAGAGCTGGGAACGCAAACTTCCCTGCATTTGTAGCAACAAGTACCAGAGTCCCAAGCTTTCAAACTCTAGTTGGCTTCTGGTGTAGCGGCGGCTCAGTTTGAAGCAGCTTCCGGGGTGTTTGACTGGTAGAAACGTTAGGCGGCAGTAAGAACAGGAAGTTAGTCTACTCTGCCCAACCCAGGGACCTCCTCTCTATGCTCTACTGGATGAAACTTCCTGTAAGGACTTCCATCTTGTAGCTGACGTTTGGAACCTGCTGTCATCTTTCTCGGCAGCTTCCCTCAGGTTTTCAGCTCTAGACCACACAGATTCTCCTCAGAAGAACACAGGACATTTGTGACAAGGTACTTCAGGACCTTTCATGGGTGAGTTGACCAGCATGAGGTGTTTGCCCAGTTTTTCTTAGGGCAGAGGTGATACTGCCCTTTCCTCTTCCCATGTGGCCCTTTGGTGACCTCTTTAGGAACAGGGTAGGGGTAGGGTGGCAGGGACCCTCAAGCTGTTTAGTTTCCACTCTCCAGAAGACAAGGTGAGTACTGAAGTGATTGTCATGTTTCTTTATGGAAAGCCTCCCTTCTTGTGGAGGTGAAGTGAAGTCGTCCCCCCCCCCCCCCCCCCCGCACCCCCCCCCCCACCACCCCCCCCATTGAGAAGAAAAACCTGAGCCTTAGCTCATCTTGGGTCTAGGAGTTGAGAAATAGGAAATATGACCTAGAATAGGGTTTGGTGGAAATAAATATTCTTTGGATTCACACTAGGCTAGGGGTTAGAAGAGGAACAAGGAAGCAACCATTAGTACTGAATCTATTCCAGTCATTCAGAACATCACATTATCCTTATAGAAGCTTCTAGATACTTGCTTTATGGCCTATCATGTGAACTATTTTGAAGTTTCTCACATATGTGTAGGGTTCCGTGTTAATTAAGTACATTTGTTATCTATGTATATATAATATATAAAATTGCTTTTTACATACATATGCCTATGTACAAAAATGACATCTCAGGCTGCCCTAAACTCTTGGGCTAAAGTGATCCTTTTGCTGTAGCCTCCCAAGCATCTAGGACTACAGGCATGTGATACCATGCCCGCTTTGTTTCTCAAAATGTTTAAATCTTCCTTGTGCAGATGAACTACTGTCTGATAGATTTATCTGTTATTTAATGTTGAAATTTTCCCCAAATTGTGTATTTGTCCACTTATTTTCCCTCCAGTCAATTTTCTTTCTTTATATTAAGAAATACATGCTAATGCAGACTTTAATACCATCTTCTTGTTTAATTGAACCTTTTATCACTATGAAATGTCCTTTCTTCTACTATTTCATTCTTCCTCCCTAATCTCTCCTGTTTGATACAGTGTTTCATGTAGCCTCAGCTATGAACTGTTTATGTAGGCAAGGATGACCTTGAACTTCTGCCTCTTCTGCCTCCACCTCCTGAATACTGGGCTTACAATCGAGTGCCATCACCCCTATTCTATCTATGCGGTGCTGGCCATGGAGCCTACAGTTGTGTGCATGTGAGGAAGGCACTCTTATCAACTGAACTACACCCCTGTCTCATAGAATTTCTTTCTTTAAAATGTACCTTGTCTATTTCCAATACAAACCTGCAAATATATATAAAATTATTGTTAACTATAGCTACTCCACTGTGTAGTGGAACATTAAAAATTGCGACTGGAGAGATGGCTCAGTGGTTAAGAACACTTGCTGAGCAATCATGTCAAATCGTGTTTTGGTCCTAACATTCATGTAGCAAGACAGGCTTCCTGCAAACAACTGTGACTCCAACTCTGAGGGATCCCAATGCTATTTTCAGGCATCTGTGCATGCATGGAAGTGCTTGTACACAGGTGTGTGCATATACTCATGTAGACAGACAGACAGACAGACAGACACACACACACACACACACACACACACTTGCACACACAAATCTTTTTTCTTTTTAAAAATTTAGCCTCAGGCAAGTTCTTTTTTTTGTTGTTAATTTTAAAATTTATTCTTCTCTCATATATTACATCCCAACCACAGCTTATCCTCCCTTCTCTCCTCCTAGTCCCTCTCCCTGACCCTTCCTTCATCCTCTCCTCCTCCATTTCCCTTCAGGAAAGGGCAGGCCTCCCTGGGATATCAACCAAACACGGCATATCAAGTTACAATAAGACTAGGCACAAACTCTCTTATTAAGGCTCGAAGAGACAACCCAGCAGGAGGAAAAGGGTCCCAAAAGCAGGCAAAAGAGCCAGAGACAGCCCCCGCTCCCACTGTTAGGACTCCCACAAGAACACCAAGCTCCACAACTGTCACATATGTGCAGAGTGCCCATGTCAGTCCCATGCAGGCTCCCTGGTTGTCGGTTCAGTCTCTGTGAGCCCGTGTGAGCCCAGGTTAGTGGATTGTGCACATACACAAATCTTAAGAAAAGCGTGTTAGGAGTTACTCCTCCTACTGTAATGGGTATCCCACCTTGTACACATGAATTAGTCTTTCTTCACCTCCTCTTCCACAGCTTCTAATCTCTGCTAACCACATCCTACTCTCTATTTCTATGAGGCCAACCTTTTAAGCTTCCGCATATAAGTGAGAATATTTTGCCTTTTTATTTAAAACTTTTATAGATAATTAGATTTTATGTGTTTAAAAGAACATTTGAAGAATCTTTTATTTGTTCTCAGACAGGGTCTCATTATGTAGGCCAGTCTGGCCTTGAACTCCCTAAGTAGCTAAAGCGGGGCTTGCATTTCTGATTCTCCTGCCTCTGCTTCCCAAGTAGTGACTTTCAGACATGTTCCACTATACCTAGCTGATGGAATTTTTTTTTTATGTAATCAGGCTCTGTCTGCCCTTCAATGAAATCATAGGTTTAATTTGGTACAAATATCTATTTGTTATATATTTATTTTTTATTCTTTTTTTTGGTTTTCATTACAGGGTTTCTCTGTGTAGTCTTGGCTCTCTTGAAACTCACTCTGTAGGTCAGGCTGTCCTCGAACTCACAGAGATCCACCTGCTCCTGAGTGCTGGGATTAAAGGCTTGGGCCGCCGCCGCTGCCGCCACCACCACCACCCAGCATACACTTATTTTTACCTGTCCTCAGACAATGCATGAACCTTGCACCATTATGATTCTATTTATCCTCGCCTGATTTGTCATGCACTTTCATTATACATGAGATATGAATACCACATCTTCTTTAATATTTCCCTTCTCTTTTTTCTAGTCTTCATTACAGTATCTATCCAAGATATGCATATGCATCCCAGAAGAAGTATTGTATTGTATACTAACTACTCAGATTTGCCTACAAATTTATCAGTGTCATTGAGTCTTTTTTACTGCATAGATGATTGTATATAGACCGGCTTGACCTTGAACTTGTGACAGTTTTCTTTGTCTCCTAGGGGCTGGGTATTATAAGTGTGTGCTGCCAGACCCCAAAGGGATATTTCTGTTTTTAAAACATTCATTCATTCATCCATCCACTCATTTATTCATTCAGTGTATGTGTGTGGGTACAGGTTTAGAGGTCACAGAACAACAGGAAACTTGAGGAAAACAGTTCTCTTCATCCACAATGTGGGTTTAGGGAATTGAACTCCAGTGGTCAGGCTAGGTGGCAAGTTCTTTACCTGCTGAGCCATCTCATAGCCTATTTCTGTTTTAGTTTAACTTTTTAAGGTTTATTTCTTTCATGTATGTGAGTGCTTTGCTTGCATTTATGCATATGCACCATGTGTGTGCCTGGTACTTGAGGAGATCAGAGGAACACATCAGATCCCCTGGAACTGGAGTTACAGATGGCTGTGAGCCACCACGTGGGTGCTGGGACCTGAACTCCCATCCGCCACAAGAGCAACAAGTTCTCTAAACTGCTGAGATATCTCTTTTTCTCAATGTACACTTTTGTTGTATTCTATTACTGTTTTTACTTGAACTTGATGTCTTTTTTAATGTGGCAACTTCTCAGCTAAGATATGTTAGATATGTTTACCATATTTCCTTTAACTTCTTCCCTTCTCTTTTACTAATCTTCACAATAATATTTGAGCAAGATACAATGTGCATATGTTGTTTTGCTTTATGTATCACTTGTCTAGCTCCCTTCTTTCAGGCAGGGAACTTGCCTGTGATCCTTGAACCATAAAAAACCTTCCAAGATAATTTTTACTATCTTCAAACAGGAGAGTCAAGATTGAGGAATGAAACATAATTTGTCTCAGATCATTCAGCCTGAGCAGGGTAAGACAGTTAGTAACATCATCACAGACCAGTTATTGAGCCCAAACCTTTACCTCTGCGTTTGTTCTCTCCTTAGCCATGAGTGCTCCCTTCCTTTCTCTCATACCCCAGGAGGTGGAAGCACAGTGAAGTCTTCCAATATTTTTTCACACTGCTTACAGATATTTTTTAGGGGTGGATTATAATAACTAACAACCTTCATTTGCCATTATATTTTCCCAGAACCTTCTTTTTGGTATTTATATGTTGATGTATTGATTTTAATTTAAGGGCACAGCTCCCAAACTAACCCTTTTCAAAGAAGAATGAAATGTCGGGGTATTTTCCGAGGGAGATTTCTGAACTCTACTGAACACATCAGAGATACAATGCAAATGCGTACTTCATTCTACCAGCAGCAAGATGGACAGCCAGCAATGAGTAATTCTCCCATGTACACTCGAAGAAGATAGTAAGTGACCAGTCGGCATGGCTGGAATATACTAGCTAGAGAAATGCATAACACTGTGGTTAAATATGTCATTTATATCTCCAAGTGGTTGAGCAATCTTTTTTTGTAGCATTGGTACAAGTGGGGCAAATGGTCTATTGGAGAATTTCTAAGTATATGTGGACTACTTTTACTTCATTTTCCAACAGCACTCCATATGGTATTCCATCCCGGCATCAGAGAATCAACTTATATAAACAAAACCAAATGCCTGTTAACAGGGAGGAAGAGCCAAAACCTCCAGAGAGAAAAATGCAGAAGGACAAGCAAGATGATGACACCTCAAAGAACTGGTTCAAGGTCACAGTAAGTACCCCAGCAAAATGGATTTAATGCTCAAAAGAAGGCGATCAGGAGGAGTTGTGTTGGACTTGTGTAGAGTCATTGGGTGCTTTCCTGGGTACAGTGGAGTTGACACCAGAGTCCACATGCTGGATAAATGAAGGGGAAAATCAGAGAGGCAATATAAAGAGAACAGGGTGACTGCAGGGAGAAGTCAGAGCATTGTGTATAAGCAAAGGAAGAAATCAATGCTAAGAAGGTAGGACAGCTCTACACTAGATGCCTCAGTTTTGCTAAAACTATATGTGTGTGTTGGGGAGGTTGTAGTTAAAGCGTCTTTGGGGTCCTTATTAAAGAGGAAATCTAGGTCTGCCATAGGTAAAAATCCCTTATTATGGCTTTATAAATGAACTTATGTTATAATCTCAAAAATCAGAGAGATAATAAAAAGTAATTAAAAATTTTTAAAAAGTTTATTTACATATCTGGAGTTTATTATTGAAGGAACCAACCTGAATGAAAGGAAAGGAGAGTCAGGAAATCCATAGGTGATATAAAAGAAATCATCAAATTTGTGCCATCTTTAGAAATTGCTTTAAAGCTTAAAAACAAGTATTTTACGGCTTCCTATTTTCTGGCTTTCTTGAAGAAAATTGACAGATAGTAAGTCCCGTGTTTTTAAAGTACATAACTTAACAACACGTGCCTGCACAGCCCTGAAACCATTATCACAGTCAACATGCCGGTCAAACACATCAGGAATCCTTGTCTCCCTTTACAGTGGCTCTCTTCCATTCTTTCCCCATATCACTGTTTTTCAAGCAACTCTTAATTAGTTTTCTACCCCAATAGATTTGTTCACATTTTCTAAACTTTTATGTAAACAAGCTCATGCATTATGTTATGGGCTAAACACTTTTGTCTGATTAAGTTTGACTTTAAATTCTAATGTGCCAATCTTTTCTCCTATCCTAGATTCCCTCTGGCATAAAATACGATAAGAAGTGGCTGTTGAATTTGATTGAGAGCCAGTGCAGTATCCCTTTCACACCAGTGGAGGTAAGAGAGGACATGGTGGGAGATGAGAGGAACCAGGACAGATGAAGGGCTCTATTAACCACGACATTTGCCTGTGTTCCATTTCTCTCACCGTATCCACACAGTTTCACTATGAGAAAATGCAGGCCCAGTTTTTTGTTGATAATTCCGGCATTGCCTTTGAACTGAAAAGTATCAGTGACAAGATTTGGGATGAGTCTAATAATAAGGTATGTGTCAAGAGTGTGACTGTGATAAAGTGCAAGCCAGGGTCAATATCATTTATGATCCTAGGGCTTCTCAGTTCTTAGTGTCAACACAGACTCTCATGTGTTCACTGCAGATAGCAATCTTCATCAGCCCCTGTGATGAACCCCACTCGGTGACAGAGCTGAAGTCAGAAAAGATGGATCAAACAAAGGTAATGTAGGCTGTCTTACAGTTTATATATCCACAGCTGGACCTATGTCTTTCTCCCCATCTGTTGTCCCTTTTATCACTTCAGCCTCAGAGTCACAGAACTCCATCTGTGATTCTGCAGCTGGCTATGAACCTACAGGTTGCTACTTCTCAGCAAGTTCTTAACATGCAGAGACTCCCCTTTGACCAAGGCATGACTGACAGTAGTAAGTTTGAGGAGATGAGGGAAGAAGAGGCTGGCTGGGGTGGAAATTTAGGAATTGTAAATTGAGGAGGGGTTGATGCTGACAACCCCTCTTTACCAGCCGGCTGCCTCTTAGCCTTCCAATTCTCTGTTCTTGCTTCCTGAAGATTTGATGGCCCATCCTACTGACTTGGCACTGAAACCTGGAAGGTACATGCCTCCTTCCCTGGATATCCATGAAGAGGACATGACCCAGGTAATACCTTACATTTGGTGCTGTTTTGAGAGCAAGTTTGGTAGAGATTTCTAGTACTTAGATTGGTCTCAAGTATTCCCTGTTGTATCATTTCACTCTGTTTTTTTTTTTTTTCCATCACCGTAGGTTTTGTCCTTGAACCAGAGTTACAGCAAATCATATCAGCTGTTCGGCTTGCTTGATACTATGGCAATGGCCCCTCCTGTTGATAACCTGAATGTCTCTAAAAATGAGGTGAGGCATAATACTGAGATATTTCTCTTGTGAGAAAGTAGAAGTGGTCATCAGAGTGTTGACAAGAGGCAAGGAAGTGGATTTACTGGTAGGGGAGCAAGGGGAAGAGCTAAGGGTTCGGGAATCTTCTGCTTCTCTTCCCTTGATCCATGTGTTAATTCTCATAATTGCAGGTGAAGTCTGCAGGGGAGAGAGTCAAGGGGCAAGACCCGAATCCAGAAGAGATATGTGCAGACAAAAACTCTCTGAGTACTACCATCCCGGATAAGCCCAGTAACATAAAGTCAGTTGTATCTTCAAGAAGAGCAGCTCTGCCCCTTTGGGAGGACCAGAGACCTCACCCTTCCCTCTGTCTGTATCCTCAGCTCTCCCCACACTACTCCTTTCCTTCTGACCTTCTCCTCCATTCACATGACTTGAGGTGTGATTCCTGTGGCTGAGCACCTAGTCTCCTCCAGCCTGCCCTCCCGCGCCTCAGAAAGATGGCACTGGACTCCTCCCCTAGCCTAACTGGAGCTCTCTTTTTCTTACTCTTATAAAGTCCCTTCATCTTTCTCAGGCTGCTCCGAAGGCCCTGTTACCCCAGGATGAGGTCAGAGTTTCTGGATGATGGTAACATTATTTACTTTGGGCCACAGTTGGGGACTTATTCCTCCTTGGAAAGAAACATGGGCTCTCTGAACTAAAGATATAAAAGTGGGCCAATGCCAAGGAGCAGAGGGCTTCCTGGAGCAAGAGGGTCATGTGGAGAACCAAAGAGGCTTCCATCTCTTCTGTCTTCCTTATCTACGAACTTACCTACCTTCCTCATAATCCTACCAAATGTAAAAGAGGATCCCTGCATAGCATGAGATAAGCAAGTTGATTCCTTGGATTAGACCCCTACTCAGACACGCACAGGTAGAGAGGAACCTCCAGGAGAGAACATAGTGACCAGAAGAGAGAGCTGCTTCTGGGGAATGTCTCCTTCCTTCAAAGAGGCTCCTTGTTCCCAGAGTGAGCCCAGCCAGCATAGAAAGAACTGTGAGCCTGAATTAACAGTACCTAATACTGTAAAGTCTTTGTTTCATTCCTGCTTTGGGTCCTGGGAACAGTCTGGAGAAGATGAAGTAAAGGACTGCTGCAGAGGATCCCTTTTCTCCTCTATTACCTGTGACCTCTGAGCTTTAGCACCAGGCCAGACAGAGCATCTCCCATTCCATTTGTGTGGCCTCCTTTTTCTCCTTTGCCTTTACCCTCTATGTCTCCCCCACATCTGCCTCATCTGCTTTCACTCCCTTTCCATTACCATCCCTATGCCTTCCTCTTACTGAGTCCTGAGCCATACCTCTCTTACCTCCCTGCCCCAGAGTCTCTAGAATGGTGGGCACTAACAAGGTGACAGACTCCTGGAATCCCATGCCATGCCTTGCTCCCTGCAGAGCCTCCCATAGGGACTGTGAGGAGGGGAAAGGAGTCCTTGGAGCCAGGCTCCTCCAGTGTGGATTCTTGAGCCTGAAGAAAGGGATTAGAGAAGTGAGTGTAGAAGGTATACAATAGGAAGAAGAGAGAGGAAAGCAGTGGGGAAAGACAACTAGGTCATTCCATAAGGAGGGTATTTTCACTTTCAATTATTTTTGTATGGTTTTATCTGTGTTCCCATATTTATATGTCAACAGATGGATAAATGCATTACAATGTAACCAGACATACTATCTAACATATATAAGGGAGTGCCATGCAATGTTTATATACACATATACACTGCATAATTCTTAATCAGGTTACCTTTTTTTTTGGTAGTTCAATTCTGGAATTGTTCCCCAAGTTATTAAGCCTGGTAAGTGTATTCCTTGATTACTGATTTCTCTAACTGGGGCTCTCACCACATCTAACCTGCTCTGAAAGCTAATAGGTCTTCCTTATGTTAAACTTTTTGAACTTGTCCCTTTTGCCTCAAAGAGATAGGGAGAAGCTATTCAGACTCACAGGAGAATTTGCCAAATGGCAAGTCATGATCCCGATTGCATTTCTACCAGGGACATTTTTAGGGCCCTTCTCACACCTGACCTCTGACCTCTTCCATTCTATGAACCCATCCCTTTCCCTCATCAACCAGCATCACCTGCCATCTCTGCACTGATTTTCTTGCCTCCCACAGGATGGACAGGAATCACCTAAACCAACACTCTGTGGCCTTGAAGACCACAAGAGCTTACCAACTTGCAAGGTGAGGAGAGAGGTTTTAATTTGTGTATAAAAATGGGTCAACACTTACATTCTGTTTGCTTTTATTTCAGGGAAGTTTCTTTGGGTCCGAGGCTGTAAAGACTCTGGTCCTACAGTTCCTGCATCAGTAAGTACCTCCAGGAACCTGATGAAGGGGAGAATGGGAGAGGTGGGGCTATAGCATTATAGTTCGACTTGATGAAACTTTGAACTCTCATTTTGGGCCCAAACCAATGTGATTATCCCATCCTATCACCCCTTCCCCAACAGGTATTACTTCATCTATGACAATGGAGATCGGCAGGGACTCCTTAATGCCTACCATGCTGAGGCTTGCTTCTCTTTGACCGTGCTCTTCAGTGCCGTGGACTCATCCTCGTGAGTAGCACAGTCAGCTCAAGCTCTGACCTAGAGCACTGCACCCCGCTCCCCAGCAGATGCAAGCAGTCCCTTGGAATCATTGCACTGGCTTGACCACCACATCTGTTTTCCCTCTCTCCTAGGAGCAGCTTGTGGGAGTACTTCAAGTATAGCAGAAATATGAAGGTTCTCAAGGATTCTTGTAAGTGTGCGGTGGATAAGACTGAGCAAGATAAAGGGGGGTAGAGGGCACAATCACAGACGCCAGAGGCTAAGACTGTTGTTGCCCTCTCCATTCCTGCCACACTCTCTTGACTCCAAACCAATCCTGCTTGTTCCTAAACCCTTTAGCATGTAACTCTGACTGGGGAATGCTGTGTGAGAGTGTAAAAAGTATATGCAACTCCAAGGACACATATCTTTCTCTCTCCCCCTTTACAGATATTCGGAGGCAGCTGCTGAAGCATAAAAAATGTGACATTATTTACTTTCTTCGTACATTGCCCAAAACTCAGCATGACCTCACCTCCTTTGTGGTGGACATATGTTTCCAGACAGTAAGTACCTGCTCTTTTCATGGGCCACATCACATACTCAGAAAGCTGAGGGTGAGTAGAAAGTTATGCAGGACCTGAGCTCATGCCTTGTTTCCCTTTTAGGAAACAATGATTTGCTTCTCTGTTAGTGGATTGTTCAAGGAAGGTGAGTGTCTGTAGAATCCCCTCTTCGGACCCTATCCTGCTTCCTGCCCTGGATGTGCACCCCTGAGAACTCCCCCAGCTCCCCCAAATGTGTGCCTTTCCTTCTTGTCCCCCTTTGTGCTCTCCTGCCCACAGACCATCCTGGTCTGCCCGAGGGCTGTGCCTGTCTGCCCCACAGCTCAGGAGTGAGGGAGGATAAGGGAGCTGTGGGGTTTGTGGCTCTCATTCCACATTCTTACTCTGACTTTGGGTCAGTTGCTTAACCTCGGCATTTCCACATTTGCAAATGGTGCTAATTAAACTCCCCCTCCCCACCTTAATGGAAAACAGACCAAATGAACATTGGAAGGGATGTTTCCCAGGGTCCAGCATGTGATAGGGGGCCCATCAAGGGGAGTGGATCATTTCCATGGTCACCAGCCCTCTCCATTCCTGCCACATTCCCTTAACTCCAAGCCAAATATTGAGTGGTTCTTGGCCCCTTTTGGTAGAAGACCCTGACTGGGGAATGCCCTTGGGGGTCTGAAGTGGTGACAACTCTAAAAGTGCATTGTTGTTTCTTGTCCTTGAAGTGGAGGGCAACTCGCAGGGATGTGCTCATGCCTTCACTCGGACCTTCATTGCTACCTATGGCAACAGTTCAGAGTAAGTGCTGTGCTGTGGATGGGCTCTCCACCCCAGCCGAGGGCCAGCAGTGTGACAGTGCTGTGCCCGGGGTATTACCAATATTGTGGAAGGCCAATGGGTAGATTCAAGGAGCAGTCTAGTGTAGTGGTTAACAGTGTGGACTTTGGGGTCAGACTACCAGCCTCTTCCTTGCTTATTTCAGGCTTATGCTGTGAATTTAGTCAAGTCACATTGCCCATTTGTAGTTCTGTCTTGTAAAAATGTTGATTATACTGTCCACTCTTTTTAGTTGATAAAACCATTTTTAATTAAAGTTAAACCTGCCATTCTATTTATATAGACAGTCTCCAACAGTGTGCTCCTTCTCTGGGAGTGTTGTAGATAACCAGGGAAGAAAAGCAGGGCAAAGCAGGAATATGAGAACAGTCTGGTTGCTGCACAGTGAGAGCGTGACAATTGTTGGGAAGTATATTTTTGTCTCTTTTCCCATCCATCTCAGGAATGTTTTTCCTCCAGCCTTCATATCATCAATGACAAGCTGTTTGTGAGAAACGTCCAAGGGCTTCCCAGTGCCTCCATCCCTGTGGCCACATTGCCTGCCCTCTCTCAAGATCAACAGAAGATGGTGCAGTCTGGGATGAATGCTGAGGGATCTCCGAAGTGAGTGTTGGGTGTACCCAATGATGGAGTATGAGGTAGGACAAGGAGAACAAGTTCTGGAACATACAGGCTTCGCTTCTTCATTTCATTCATTGTCTTACTGAACAGTTTCTTCTCTTCTCGGTAGACAGTAGGCTAACTAACCATTTTAAATAGCTATTGGATGATTCCCTGAAATCCATGGACTCTTCTGTTCATTTAATGAGAGACCTTTGGATTTTCAGGAATTTTCCCATATTATGGCACAAGTGTCATCTTGCTGAATGTCTTGAAATACACGTAGAGGCATGTTTCTGTCACACAGGTCAGGAAATGCCTCTGTGTCGTCAGTGTCTCTTTTCTTGTGTCTTGATGGATGCTGTCTGCTCATCCTCTATCACAGGTGCCTTAATGATGAGCAGTGTGATTACAGCAAAGCCATACAAAGCCTGGCTTTACTCAAGGTGAGGTTTGGTAATTGAAGCCAGGTGAGAAATGCCAAGTGGCCTGGAAATGATGCTAGTTTCTTGGATCTGCTGATCTCCCAACTGTGTCCTTTACTTCCTCCAGGTAAAGGACGTGAGCCCAGAGGATACCTCCATACAGCCAGGTCCAGGATCCTAAGAACAGCACACCAAGAAGAAATCCCTGGGTGTCACTATCTTATTTCCTCAAACCTCTGTTGTGATTTGGTTCTAGTACAGTAATTTCCATTTAAATGAATTGGGACATCTAGTTACATCCTGGAAGCTAAGGCCTAGCTTGTGAATCTAACTTTCATGTATCTAAATGACCTGTGGTTTGTGTACTTGCCACATATTTCAGGATCCTTGTTTCTTATATTTTCTTTTATTATCAATTTTATTAAATTTGTTGAGCATTTCATGGTTATGTAACACATTCTGGTTACTCTCACTCCTCCTCACCCTGCACATCTCCTTCCTACCCCTCCCTCTTCCCTCTGCGTCCCTGTCTCACACTCATGTCTTTTGTTTTGCATTGTGCCCCTCTGAGTATGAGCAGGGCCATCTATGTGGCCATGTGTTTGGAACTGTCCCTTGGCCTCACCTGTGGGTACATGAGTAAAGACAATGATTTCCTTTCCTCTAGAATCCATCAGTAGCCAATAGGCTCCATTCACTGACTAATGAGAGGTCTAGTCTTGTGCAGGCCCCGAGGAGGCAATCTCAGTTGCTGGAAGTTTGTGATAATTGTGTCATGCTCAGAAGATGCTGTTGATGTTGTCAGTTATGTTAAATCCCTTCAAAATACACTGGAGGCAGACCATGTTATAAGAATGAGTACCTCTAAGGAAGAACTGCTGTAGAGACTGAAGTCTAAACCCAGTCTTAGGCTGTACATTTATGCTCCTGTGGGCTATATGGCTTCCTATGTTGAGCAGACTCTCTAACCCTGTTAAAACTGAGTACTGATGTTCTATGTGCCTAAAGTATTCATCAAGTATTTCATGCAGATAACAATATTCTTCTATTAGCTATACAAATTTATTCAAAATTAAAGCCAGCGTAATTGGTAGGATATAACATTAAAGGACACATAAAAGCTTGTGAAGAAAAATAATTCCCATATATGAAAGTGTCATATTATAAAAATCCTTGATATAAAAAGAGGCAAGGGTAAGGAAATTATGATTAACTTTGTATTTTTATTAAAAGAAATAAGCCAGGTGGTGGTGGCGCACGCCTTTAATCCCAGCACTAGGGAGGCAGAGGCAGGCAGATCTCTGTGAGTTTGAGGACAGCCTGGTCTACAGGGTGAGTTCCAGGACAGCCTGGGCTGTTACACGGAGAAATCCTGTCTCAAAAAAAAAATATCCTGGAAACCTATGAAAATATGTTTCACCACTAAAAGTACAAAAGTAGCCACAAATACTGAAATGATTTAGAAAAGGAAAATAAAGATGATGATGATGATGATGATGATTATTTGGTTTTTCGAGACAGGGTTTCTCTGTGTAGCTTTGCGCCTTTCCTGGAACTCGCTTTGTAGACCAGGCTGGCCTCGAACTCACAGAGATCCGCCTGGCTCTGCCTCCCGAGTGCTGGGATTAAAGGCGTGTGCCACCACCGCCCAGCTAAGATTATTATTTTAAGAAAAAAAAGTGTCCATCTGTCTGGTCCCAATGGAGCCAGGCAAGCCTGTGGTTTTCTTTCCCTTACAGGGCAGCCGGCCCTAGGCGGGCGTGTAGCTAGAGAAACTTGCAGGCCTGCCCAGTGCCATTAGGACCAGACAGGTGAGGGTCACCTACATGCCTGCCTGGGGCCGCCTTCCCTGGGCAGGGAAGAGAAACTGCAGTCGGGCACCATTATGCTGAGCAAATATATGGTGGAGTATGGGAGAGAGAGAGGGGAGGGGAGGGGAGGAGAGGGGGAAGGAGAGAGAGGGAGAGGGAGAGGGAGAGGGAGAGGGAGAGGGAGAGGGAGAGGGAGAGGGAGAGGGAGAGGGAGAGGGAGAGGGAGAGGGAGAGGGAGAGGGAGAGGGAGAGGGAGAGGGAGAGGGAGAGGGAGAGGGAGAGGGAGAGGGAGAGGGAGAGGGAGAGGGAGAGGGAGAGGGAGAGGGAGAGGGAGAGGGAGAGGGAGAGGGAGAGGGAGAGGGAGAGGGAGAGGGAGAGGGAGAGGGAGAGGGAGAGGGAGAGGGAGAGGGAGAGGGAGAGGGAGAGGGAGGAGAGGGAGAGGGAGAGGGAGAGAGAGAGAGAGAGAGAGAGAGAGAGAGAGAGAGAGAGAGAGAGAGAGAGAGAGAGAGAAGAGAATGGTTCATGTCCTGTGGAGAGACGCAGATCTGAAGACGGGAAGGTGGTGAGGAACGGGCTGATGTGGGAGGCCTGCTTGCCATCCGTGGTCAGGGTGACCTCTGGGCCTGGGCTGCTGCCAAGGGCCATGTCTGGGTCTGTTGCCCTGCAGCAGCTGAGATTTGTGTTGATGTTCATGGCTCCTGCTGCCACCCAAGGCTGTGAGGATGCTGGGATCTGGGCTGACATCTGAGGCCATGTTGGTATCTGAGGGTCATGCTGCCACGGGGGCCATCTTGATCTGGGTGGCTTGCACTGCCCCCAGGGCCATGGAAACATCCAGGCCTGAACTGCAGCTGAGGGCCATGTCTGGGTCCGTGGCCCTACTGCAGCAAGGTTCTGTGTTCATGTCTGTGGCTCCTATTACCACCAAAGGACATGCAAATGCTTGGAGTCTGTTGGTATTCGAGTATCATTGTGCCACTGGGGCCATACAGATCTGAGTGCCCTTCGCTGCTACCCAGGACCATGGTAGCATCTGGGCTCTGGCTGTGGTTGAGAGACCTTGTCTGGGTCTGTGGCCCTACTGTAACCAGGGTCTGTGTTAATGTCCGTGGCTCCTGATACCGTTGTAGGCCATGCAACTGCCTGGGTCTGGCCACCTGGGGCCATGTTGGAGTCTGGGGACCATGCTACTGATGGGATGCCTATGCAGATCTGAAAGTCTTGTGCTGCCACCAGGGGCCTATGATGACATATGGGCCCAATCTGCTGCTGATAGCCATGTCTGGGTCCTTGGTTCTAGGGTAGTTGGGGTCTGTGTTGATGTGAATTGCCTGTGTTATGACAGGGACCCATGTGAACCATGCGTTGAACCATGTGTTAAAGTATAAGGGCCATGCAGAGATGTCTGTGACCCTTACTGGCCAGATGAGAGCTGACTCCACCCCTCACCACAGGCATGGGAGGTCTTGCTCTGCCCCTAGCCTGAAGGGGGTGTTTCTAGAGGCCCAGACTGACCAGCTTGCCTACCATCCAGGCCCACCTGCAGGGCTTTGAATGGGCACTCCCAAACATCTATCCCATCTATGACCTGCTAGGTGCATGAAGGGACTGGTCCTGTGGAACCATAACTGCATGATCTCCATGATTCTGGGCAACAGCAGGATATCTGGGAGGAATTTTGATGAGGGACCAGTGATGATGGTGTGCCAGAGGCCAGAGGCCTTGAACATGACCAACAACATGTTGGATAATGAACATTTGCAAGTAAAGCTGTTTGGGAAAAAGGGTATATATACTGCATGATACACAGCAGCTCCCAAGGGCACTGAGACAAATGAAGAAGCCATGGAGAGGCGGGAAAGATGAAAGAGTAAAGTGAGTTTTGTTGTTTGTTTTTTTGTTTGTTTATATTTGTTTGTTTTTAATTCATATTCTTATTTGTATTATTTATTACTTATTTTTAAGTTTTCCTTTGGGGGGGAACGCTACAAGGGTGAAGGGCAGATATGGAGGGACTGGGAAATGAATGGGATGGGGTGCATGATGTGAAATTCCCAAAGGATCAATACAAAATTATGTTTAAAGAAATACTTGTGTACATATGTAGGCATACATAAGTGTGTATCTTTATGTGGGTGTATATAAAGTATGTACTGCACACTGGGTAGTTTAAATCTACAGAAATTTATTTTCTCATAATCTGGAGGTCATAAACCTCAAACCAATGTATTAAAAAGACCATATACACCTTGTAAGACTTTCTTTTTAATGTGAGGCTCTTTTAAATATACAATTGTGTTCTCTGTGAATAGGGATAATCTGACCTCTTCCTTTCTTTTTAAACCCCTTATATCTTTCTCTTGCCTTCTTCCCCCAGCTAAGACTTCAAGAAATCTATTGATTTAGGAGTGGAGAGAGTAGGCACCTTATATTCTTCCCAAATTTGGAGAAAATGTTTTTTTTTTTTTGCCACATTTAGTATAATGTTGACTAAATGTTTGTCACAACTCGCCTTTATTGTTTTGATTTCTGTTTTGTCTAGTGCAAATTATTCCAGGACCTTTTTGTAACTTCAAGCCATCAGTGTGCACTATTTCACCATAAGAACTTTGGGAGACTAATACATCACTGTAGAGACATATGCCTGTACATGCATATACACACTGACATTTTTTTCTGAAAATAACATAATTTTTCATTTATAAATTAATAATTTAATGCCCCCATCTTTGTGTCCTCTTTTAAAAATTTAATTGCTCATTCCAATTTGTGTTGACCATATGCTTCTCATTATAGAGGCATTCATGGAGTGTGGTTGACCTACCAGGAGCCTCACCCTTAAATAACTCCCCTGGAAGCCATCAATTATCCATAGTTCCTTAGTTAGCAGTGGGGGCTCAAGATCCCTTTCATGTGAATGCATCCGTCCCTATTGGTTGAGAAAATTTGTATCTATGTTCATCCAGGAAATTGGCTTGTAGCTTTCTTTTTCTGTTATGTCTTTATCCAGACCTGATGTCAGTGTAAGAACTGGCTTCCATTTCTATTTCGTACAACAGTTTGAGGAGTATTAGTATTAGACCTTCCTTTAATGTTTGATAGAATTCATCAATCTGTCCAGTTCTGGGATTTGCTTGGTGGAGAGACTTTCAATTACTGTATCAATTTCATTGCTTTTTGTGTCTTTTTAATTTGTTTATAACATCTTCTGCATTTAATTTTAGCAGGACATACGAGTTTAGAAATTTATTCATTGTTTTTAGGTTTCCCATCTTTTTAGGATAAAATTCTTCAAAGTATTCCATAATCTGGACCTCATTGAATTCTGTTTTAACAACTCCCCTCTCATATCTGATTTTATTTATTTGAGTTTTCTCTCTCTTTTGTTAGTTTGGTTAAGATGTTGTAAGTACTGTTAATCTTGAAGAACCGACTCTTTGATTGGTTGGATGTATTGTTATTTTAGTTTCTATTTCATTAATTTTTGCCTTGATCTTTATTATTTCTAGCCACATGTTACTTTTTTTTGGACAGTATCTCAGCTGACCTGGCACTTGCTGTGTTTACCAGTCTGGCCTCAAACTCACAGAGATCTTCCTGCTCAGTGGTCTGGAGGTGAAGCAATTATGATAAATATCCTAGCAGTCCACACCTCCAATGCTCCATAAGAGTTAACAAACAGAACACAGACAGGATGCTACCCAAGCTGGGTGCAAAGAAGAGCAGGCAGTCTTAGGATTCCTCTTTCCCCTCACTCAACAGACACTTGTTATTTTACATGGAATCTACAAAAGTTTAGGATACCTTTGTGGTTTCCAGTACGGTCACAGACCTCTATCCTATGCTAGAAGGTAATTCACTAGGGAAGGACTAGAAATCCAAAGGTGATTTCTCCATGTGACTTGGAAATATGCAACAGGACCCTGAACATAGGAAATTAGGGGCTCTGGAATTTGGTGGGAGGGAAACCAGCACCTTCTTAGCCTCTTTTTAGAGCAGAGATGATCTATCTTATATCCCTCAACTTGCATGACTACCTCACAGCTTTTCCCCTTTGCTTAGATCCTTAAAGTCACCCACAGTAATAGCCATTAACTTTCAGTTGCTAGCAAAAGCCTTTCTATAGTTAAAAATGAAGGTAATCATAGGATAAAACAGAACAGTATTATTCAACACTTGGTATTGGTTCCAGAAGGGAAATAGATTCTGCTTTCATAAAATTGCTATGCTCTAACAACTGAAGTTGTCTCTTAAGATGCACTTAACTGATTTTAGAAACACAGATTGTGTTCAAGGAGATTCTGTTTAAAATTTTTTTTTTTTTTTGGTTTTTCGAGACAGGGTTTCTCTGTGTAGCTTTGCGCCTTTCCTGGAACTCACTTGGTAGTCCAGGCTGGCCTCGAACTCACAGAGATCCTCCTGGCTCTGCCTCCCGAGTGCTGGGATTAAAGGCGTGCGCCACCACCGCCCGGCTAAAATTTTTTTTTCCAGAGAAACATTCAAGCAAACTAGAATGTTCTAAAAATAGTTTGTGGCAATTGAATAAATGCATTGCATCCAGCACAGGTGAACATGTTGTGTGTGTGTGTGTGTGTGTGTGTGTGTGTGTGTGTGTGTGTGTGTGTTACCGTGCCAGTTTCAAACATTGGGTTCAAAAATAAAATTTCCTGCTTTTCAAAAATTGAGGTATGAAAATTTGTTGTTTTGAAAGAGGGTCTCATTCTGTGGCCCAAAATGACTTGAAATTTACTATGTACTCCACACTGGTCCTAACTCATGGTGAATCCCCTACTTCAGCCTCCCTAGTGCCATGATTTCAAGAGTGAGGCACCAGTTGTGGCTGAGATTCATTAATGTTTAAAAAGAAAATAAAGATAAATTAATAGAAAGAATCTATACAGATGTAAAGAACGGAGAAAGGAGAACACCAGGGTGAGGGTGTGGTGGTGCTGAACCAAGGAGGATGGTGTCGACTCTCCCTGGTAACAGGGAAGGGAGAAGTCCAACCTCCAGACGGTGAGGCCACTTGTGGGTACTCAGATTGGCGAGGATCTGGATGAGTGACGGGTGGGGCGTGACTTGCGCGCTTGTGGCGGGGAGCTGGGGCGGGGCCTCCTGTCGCACTGGCCTCCTGAGCAGGGGAGCTAGCTTGGCAGTGACGCGGGGCCCTCACGTGACCCGGGGCTGCAGAGCGACGCAGCCTTGGGTGCAGTCGTCACTTGCGTCTGGTCTCCGGCTCCGCGCTTCCCTGCGCAGGGCGGGCTGGCATCGGGCCCTGGGCGAGCGGCGCAGGTAAGGGGCCCGCACGCAGCGGCCCTGACGGCGACAGCCTCCCGATGCGCCGGAGCGCGCTGCAGGACGGCGCGGCGGCCCCGCGGCTTTCTGCATGGCAAAGGGAACCGTGGCTGCGCCCGGGGAAGGGGCGCCCCTGCTTGCGGGCGGGGATGGCGGGGGTCTCGGGGAAGGGCCGGCTGGGCCGGCTGGCAGAGGCCAGTGCTAGACCCAGCCCTGGAGAGCATGGAAGGGACGGGCTGTTGGTGGCTGTGGGAGGCGGGGAAGGATGGGCAGTGGGGGTGCGGGCGGAGGAGGGGGTGCGGTACTGAGCTCCGCGCTGAGTCGCTCCGATCCCACCCTGTCTGCAGGTCTGCAAGCCGAGAGTCGCGGCGGCGAGAATTGAGAGGAGGACTCGGCGGGCGGCGAGGGATAGGCCCAGGTCGGTTCAGGGCAGTGTGTGTGTGTGTGGGGGGGGGGGGGGGGCGGAGTGGGGGAGGGGAGGGCTGGAGGAGCGTGCGGAAAGCCCTGTCTGGGACGTCAGCCCCCCTCGCATCCATTCCTTCCCACCTTCCATCCCATCCCCCTCGTTCTACCTCCCATCTCCCCCACCACCTCCCACCATCCCCATCCACTAGCTCCATCCTCCATTTTGATGCCTGCAAAAGCCTTGGAGATAGATCAACGGGGAAAATGGTGGGTTGTGGGGAGAGGGGATGGGACTGGGGGCCCTCTAGAGGGCGTGTTGGGCCTTTCAGGTAGGAAAATAAAATTTGAAAAACAAAGTAAACATATGGACACCCAAAATAGTGAATGTTGGAAAATGGGCCTCTGTCCTCGGTGCTGAACCTTTCAACAATTCCCTTGTCTTCTAGGAGAAATGGAATCCAAAGAGGAACAAGGAGTAAAAAATCTCAACATGGAAAATGATCATCAGGAAAAGGAGGAAAAGGAAGAAAAGCCACAAGATGCTAACAAAAGGGAGCCGCCTGTGGCCCTGCCTTTGGAAACAGGCGAATACAGCGTGCCTAGAGGAAGTCGCAGACGGTTCCGTGTCAGGCAGCCCATTGTGCACTATAGATGGGACCTGATGTATAGGGTTGGAGAGCCCCAGGCAAGGATGAGACAGGGGAACATGGAAAGGTTTGGGGAGGATGTGAGACAGCTCATGGAGAAGTTGAGGGAAAGGCAGCTGAGCCATAGTCTGAGGGCAGTTAGCACTGACCCCCCTCACCGTGACCATCATGATGAGTTTTGCCTTATGCCCTGAATCCTGAAGTGTTCTCTGAAGATAATATGGGGACCCCTGCTTCTAAAACTTACATGTTTGTGATGTACTGTTGTAAAATTTTTGATGTTACTTGTTCCCCATGGGTCTCCACTTCCCGCCAGCTTCTAATTGAAACTTGTGTTTTTGATTCAGTCTTAAAATTTTTTTGTTAGCAGAATTTATCTAATGCATGGAAAGATGCTCATTATATATTGTGGAGCTAATAAAGCAGATTTAAAAAGCAATCTTAGTATTTATTATTTAACGGCTACTTATATATACCACACACAGTGGGAAAGTGGGTGGAATTCAATTGTAAAAGGATTAATACTGGGACTCATTTCTGTGAGAGTAAGGCAGACAAACAAGAGACATTTTAGTACCCTGGGGGCCCCCATTTGGTTTTGGTTATACCCATCGCCCCATGGTATAATAATACACTTTGCAACCTATTCCTTTCACCTGTGTGTGGTTTATGCACTTCCTTCTCCTCACAATGCACCCAGAAATACCTGAACCCCTTCAGGCCCTCATCTGCATTCGTCATGGTACACATCCTCCCATCTCTGAACAAACAATAGTGTGTTTTCCCACTTACCCCTGGTAACAATCACATTTAGATCATTTCTATTTAAGTGAATTCTCAAGGTATCTGGGTGTGGAGAATAGAAGGGCTGGTTCTTCTGGCTTAGACTGGTTTGGGGGTACATGCACAGTAAGGCAAAATTATATCCTGCAGTAAAATTTTAAGTATAACCCCTTATTTACCATTGTATGCCTATATATAACTGGGCATGCATATTATTAAAATCAGATGCACGTGGGAAGGGACATGCGTATTAGGGAAAATTAATGTATGACTTGATCTGTCAGCCAAAGTAAGAGAATCACCCAAACAATGCCCCATAGTAAACTTCCCTTAAATCCCATAAAAGGAAGCCCTGAACTATAATGGGAACCTTCAGTGTTCTTGATCATGTGGCTTGCTATCAATCCTGACAAATGTATCCCTCTATAACCTACACTATTACCTTGCTTTGAACAAAATTCATCTTGCTTCTTTAGTAAATTTGTGAGCCCTTTTGGTTAAGAAATCTGGGAGGCAGAGCCAGGCGGATCTCTGTGAGTTCGAGGCCAGCCTGGGCTACAGAGTGAGTTCCAGGAAAAGGCGCAAAGCTACACAGAGAAACCCTGTCTCGAAAAACCAAAAAAAAAAAAAAGAAATCTGGGACCTGGGAACTCTTTGCCCACATCCCAACCAGTACCAAAAAAGCTATGATCTTATACGTTTTGCCCATGTTGTAAAATACCTGTTATGAACAACTCAAAGAGAGAAAGAATTTATTTTAGTTCCTGGTTGCAAATATTTCAGCCTATCATTGTGGGGAGGCTGTTGTACAACAGAGTGAGTAGCTCACAGCACGGTGGCTGGGCTGCGAGTTGGGGGAGGGAGAGAGAATGAGCACCACTGTTTCTCTGCTTTTATTCTGTCCCAACACCAGCTAATGGGACCATGCTGGCTTCCTGAGGGGTGAGATTTTCCTGTTGTTAATTTCACTTTCGTAGAAACAGAGGTCTATTTTAGCAATTTTCTAGGCACTTCTCAATCCAATCAATTTGTTGTGAGAAATATAGACTGACAGACTTGGTGGTTTATTTTTCTCTGTACTTGGGGGAAAGAAATACAATACCTTTAATTGCTTTATAAAAGGAGAAAGGTCACTTAATACTCATTAGCAGAAACTGAGTCTCATAGCCACACAGATAAGCCAAGAAATTTTTTACCAATCAAGAGTGACGTTGCTTTCACACAAGTAAAGCAAGGTCACGAGGGTATGGTTTACCTAGTTTTCACCCGGCCTCACCTACTAGGCAAGAGCCCTACCTGCATATCATTCTCTTTAGGTACTAAGCAGTTTCGGAGGCCAGGTCGCAGTAGTCTGGCATACCTTCTATGTCCTGATCAAAAATGCAATGTCTGCTGATCATGCTATGATTTCTGCCTGACTAGAGCAGGCATGTTCAAAAGGAGAAAAATAACGATGGAATCTGGAGCCCTGTTTTTTTTCTTTTTTCGATCTGAGTACAGTTGCTAGCTAGAAAAATAACGTTGAATGTATAACTTCCTTTTATGGAAGAGATTGCATGCAATTTCTAAAAGGACATTGAACTTATTTAGAAATGTCTAAATGCTCTTGGCAGTATGTGAATTTGTTACTGGTACAAGAATCACTTGGAGTCTATTAAATTATGGATTTATACATGGATGTAAGGCTCCACTCCAGGTTCACTAAATAGGACTTTCATTTTTAACAAGCATCTTTGGTGATTCTGCTGCACATTAATGTCTGAAAGATTACTGATATGTATATACTTACTATCCCCATTCTTAAATAGGAACTATAATTAACTTCAAGTGCTTTTCTGTGGATCATATAGTGATTAAAAATAATATGCTTATTACAATCACCTACCTTTCTTATCCATCATTGCTCAAGCACTGTCTGAAGAGATACAGACACAATCTTTCCACTGTAAATCTGTATTTGTAGAAATACTATCTTAGTTGGATTTCTACTGCTGTAATAGAATACCATGACCAAACATAACTTGCGAACAAAAGATTTTATTTCACCTTATAAATTGTAAGTCCTGAGGGAAGCCAGAGCAGGAACTCACGGTAGGAATCTGAAAGCATAAACAGATGCCCAGACCATAGAAGAGTGCTGCTTACTGGCTTACTCTATGGTTTACTCATACAGCTCTCTTATATACCCTAGAACCACTTGACCAGAGGTGAAACCTCCCACAATGGGCTGTAAAATGCTAGGCCTGGTCTACATCTCCATTGCAGCTTTGTAAAAGACCTTGAGGCAGAGGACTCAGATAAATCACCCTGGACTTCTGACTTAGAATCTTTGGGATCATAAAGTCATATTGTTTTACATGTTATGTTCGGAATTAATTAGATACAGAATAGGAAATAAAACATGTTTTTCTTTTTATGTATATGTAAATATGGGGGTTGTACATGTCTATGTGTGTGTGTGTGCGCAGGTGTGTGCAGACATATGTATGCATGTCTGTGGAAACCAGAGGACAATCTTGAGTGTTGCTCTTCATATAATGTCTACCTTTTTACTTCTAATTTTATTTAATTATTTTACGTGTATAGGTGTTTTGCTTGCAAGTATGTCTGTTCACTATGTCTGTGCCTGGTCCTGAGGAGGCCAGAAGAGGGCATTGGATCCCCTGGCACTGGAATTATAGACAGTTGTGAGCTGATTGTGGGTGCTGGGAATTGAACCCAGGTCCTCCAGAAGAGCAGCCAGTAGTCTTAAGTGTTGAGCTATCTCTCCAGTTCCTATCATCTTCATTTTTAGGATAGGGTCTCTCACTGACTTAAACTCATCAAATAGGCTAGGCTAGATGCCCAGTAAGGCCCAGGGATTGATCCATCTCTAGTTTCCCAGCACTAGGTTTACAATCACTTGACATCATGTCAAACTTCCATATTTCAAAAAACATTGGCTCTGATGATAAAACGCAGGTCCCCATTATTGCAAGGCAATTTCTCCATCCAAAACAGAATATTGCTTATTAAAATAAAATAAAAAAACTAGAAAAATATTTTTGCATATTAAAATTAACAATTAAGTATTCAAATTCTCAATAGTCTCATAAATTTTAACCCCAAACATATAAATTAATATAAAATAAATTATGTGTCTAAGGAATATTTTTCGCCTCATCAGATTGTAAAATAGCAGGAGCAACCTATGTAAATATTTCTACTAATTCATAACTTTTTCTATAAAATAACATGTTTTAAAAGAGCTGTCTCCAATTTAATATAGACCTGGAGCTACAGACTCGGAAAGCAGTAAATTCTAGGAGAAAAGCCAATGTTATATGCAATGAAAAGTAAGGATCTATTGCGTGTCAGTGAGGGGTTTCACATATATAACAGAGTAATAAAAAAGATTCTTTTGAGCTAGTGGTGGTAGCACATGCCTCTAATCCCAGCACTCAGGAGACAGAGCTAGACTAGTCTCTGAGTTCGAAGCCAGACTGGTCTACAGAACAAGTTCAAGCCAGCCAGGGATACATAGAGAAACCCTTTCTCTAAAAATCAAAAACCAAACCAAACAAACAAATAAAAATTTCGCTTTATAATATATCTTATTTTGCCAACATTTGATAAAAAAAACCTTATATTTAACTAGATTTCTTAAAATAGCCTGTTTATCCCTACAAGGAGAAAAGAATTGCTAGAAGGCTGGGCGGTGGTGGCACATGCCTTTAATCCCAGCACTCGGGAGGCAGAGGCAGGCGGATCTCTGTGAGCTCAAGGCTAGCCTGGTCTACAGAGTGAGTTCCAGGACAGAGAGAAATTATGTCCTGGATTTCTGTTACACAGAGAAATCCTGTCTCAGAAAAAAAAGAAAAGAAAAAAAAAGTTGGATATAAAATATAATATTTATATCACCATAAGAACAAACATATAGGCAAATAGAATGGTGTATTTTTAAATATTTATACTCATCTTCAGTCACACACAAAAAATCAAGGGGTGCAAAAGCATTAAGTAAAGAAAAATTTAACTATGGAGCTTCAAATAAACTATTTGTAGTGTTAACCTATCTGCACTGTGTAAATACTGTGACAGCTGACTTCATGGTAGCAATATGGTATCATTTAGTAGAGAATTGAGAAGAAATGTACACAGTTATCTATCAGGAGTACACCGTCAGCTTAGCAGCCTCCCACACAAAAGGGATGAAAACAGGTCCAATACCATGCAAGGAAAAATGAGTGATGAAGATGAGAAAGTGAAACAGCATTTGCAAAGGAGATCTAGGATAGGCTAGGGGAAACCAGATCAAGCCAGACCGGCAGACACCAGACGCATGCCACAATCTCGGAGAAGTGGCCACAAGAAAGAGCACAGGGTACATGGACAAAGTGTGTGTGATGGGGGAGAGATTACACAGACACAGCAGTCATTTGAAGGTGTGTTTGAACAAGCATAGACTTTGGAGTGAGGAGGCAAACCATAGCTCAAATATTGACACCGCCACTTACAAGTCCTATGACTCGGAACAAAGTTGCATAACCTCCTCCCGTAGCTGCCGTTTTCTTACCTGTAAAACAGAACATGTTCATTGAGATGCATATCATATGTCAAGTTCTAGTAAATCTTAGCTCTTAATATTATAAAACATGCAAAATGAAAGCAAAAAGATTTCATTCACTAAAATGAGTAGCTTAATGTTTAAAAGTTAAGAAAATTTATGGGATTTAAAAAGTATTTATTGATCCCAGCTGTAATAATTTGTCTCACAGAGTGGTGTACATTATTTGAGTCATTGATGAACTGCTTAGGAAAACTGAGATTTTTGTGTCTAGTTCATATCAGTTATAATTATCAAAGTAAGGCAGTGCTTCAACAAATGATTGAAATTCAGACTGATTAGGTATTCAAGATATTTTCCCCCCCAAGTCTACAGTGAGCATAAGCCATGTGTGGCTATTGAGAATTCAAAATGTGTATAGTAAAATTGGAGATGCACTAAAAGTGTAAAATGTACACAAAATTTCAAAGCCATTACTATCTTGTTGATAGTTTTTCATTAATTATTTGTTAAATATCATGCCATTTTGAATATTCTGTCAAAATTTATTTTTCTTTATTCTTCTCTTACACAGTACATCCCAACTGCTGCCTCCCCCTCCCTCCCATCCTTCCATGCCTCTCCCCCTCCCCCAGATCCACTGCTCCCATGTTTCCCTTTAGAAAAGAGCAGGTCTCCCTGTGATATCAACCGGACATGGCATAACAAGATGCAGTAAGACTAGGCACAAACCGTCATATCAAGGTTGGATGAGGCGACCCAGTAGTGGGGGGAAGGGTCCCACGAGCAGGCAAAACAGTCAGAGACAACCCCATTCCCACTGCACAAATATAAGGTATATGCGGAGGACCTAGCTCAGACCCATGCAGGCTCTGTGATTGCTGCTTCAGTCTCTGTGAGCCACTACGCGCCTTGCTAAGTTGAATCTGTGGGCCCTGTTCTCCTCTCTACGAGTGTCCTTGACCTTGCTGGCTCCTACAATCCTTTCTTTGCCTTTGGGTTCTCCTGACTTTGCCTAGTGTTCGACTGTGGGTCTCTGCATCTGCATCTGCTCCCATCAGCTGCTGATGATGATTGGGCTAGGCACCGATCTATGAATATAACAGAATATCATTTGGAATCATTTCATTGACTTTTTTGTCAGTTGTGTTTGGTTCTACCATAAGTCTTTGAGCCATCCAGCTTCTGATTATTAAAATTAATTTCACTTGAATACCTATACCTTTAAAATCTGTTCATACCACAAAACTCAAAATTAGACATGGGATTCAAAATATATTTCTGTTGAACAGCCATCAGCCTAAATCATTTTAAAATATACTATATTTCAAATTATTTTTTTTAATTTCCCACAAGATGAATGATATACATTCATTTTAAAACACAAAACAACATTAAGGAGAAAATACTAAAATATTAATATTAAAATCCTAAATTTTGCTAAATATTCCAATTTCTTTTGTGGTAAACATAATTTTATTGCTGAAAAAAATCTCTATTTTTCTCTTTGTATTATATATTTCTTTGTTGAGATTATATTTACCTTTTCCATTTAAATTGTTTATTTTTTTCAGAATATCACATGTGAGTAGCATACTTACATCATTTCTATCATTCTCCTCCCTGCCAACTCTTCTCATTCCTCCCACTCCCTTATTGACTGCCCTTCTTCAAATATTTTATATGTACACACATATATACATATATATGTGAATACAGGGTCAGTTTAGTTTTGCTCATGTATATTTAGGGCTGACCACTTGGTATTACCTAACTATCATTAGTCTTGCCTCTAGAGAAAATAGGTTTTCCTTGTCTCAGCAGTCATTAATTGCTTGTAGCTCTTCATCTATGCATGAGGTCCTGTGGTATTTCCCCATTCACAATGGCATGCCAACTGATATGGTCATTACGCAGGTCTTATTTAGGTGAACACATTGTTGAGATTTCATGGATGAACATATTCATGAGGTTTTATAGTTTCCCTGTCATATCTAGAAGACACTATCTAGCAGCAGAAACCCTAGTCCTCTGGTTCTTATAATGTTTCCATTCCTTCTGTGATGCTTCATTTGCCTTAGGTATAGGAGTTGTGTTGTAGATGTAACAACTGTGGCTTGGCTCCCCACATTCATTTATTCTCTGTATTTTTACCACTTATGGATCTCTGTAATAGTCTCCATCAGTAGAAGTAAAATGAAGTGCTGGTGACCATGTCAGAGGAGCATCAGATGGCAGTTGACTTCAGGGTGTCAGCCCACCAGGAGGTGAATCCCTGATGGATGAATCTCAGATAGACAAGGCCTCGAGATCACAGACCACAGAATGTCTTTTGCTTCTGCTACCTTTCTCTGGTATCTGGCATGGTGTTACTGGATATACGGAGACCCCCCGCCCCCGCCACTGCCTGTAATGTGTAGCTAGAGTTTTCCTGCCTGGCCCACAGTCAGGACAAATCTCTCTCACCTGCCAGTCCCACAGCCGCTCAGACCCGACCAAGTAAACACAGAGACTTATATTGGTTACAAACTGAATGGCCGTGGCAGGCTTCTTGCTAACTGTTCTTATATCTTAAATTAATCCATTTCTATAAATCTATACCTTGCCACGTGGCTCATGGCTTACCGGCATCTTCACATGCTGTTTGTCATAGCAGCAGCTGGCAGTGTCTCTCACTCAGCCTTCCACTTCCCAGAATTCTTCTCCTCCTTGTCCCACCTATACTTCCTCCTGCCTGACTACTGGCCAATCAGTGTTTTATTTACTAAGCAATCAGAGCAACACATTTGCCATACAGAACATCCCACAGCAGTAATGTGTGTTTATCTCATGGAAACATCCCATTCTACTAGGCATTTTTACCTATGGATTATTATGAAGATGATTTATTCTCAAGATATACTGTCTAATTGATAATAATAATGTTACTTATACAGAGTTTTGATATAGAAAATATAAACAAGGGAGTGTCACACAGCTAGAACAGATGAGTTTCTATTAAGGAGCTGTACAGACTGTAGTTTAGGTCAATGAATAAGAAAAACAATTGAGTCCCAGTAGCCCAGCTAGTTTAAATTCTTGTCTTAATATTGGGAGATGTGTTCACAGGTTTTGGGGTGCAGCATAGCTGAAACAAAGCTTTGAAAATAACTTAAAGTTAGACTAAGATGTTTTGTCAAATAGCTTTGAGGTGAAAAACCCAAGAAGACAATCTAAAGTTCTAGAAAGGCACATAGTTGAATGAGGAGCTCATTAAGGTCAGGGGACGAGAACAAAGTAGCCCAATTATTACTAGCTGACACACTTTTCTTGCTAGGATTGGGTGATGACCAATGGGTATAACTCCTTATACCTATTTCTGCCCTCAATCTCCTGACATAAAAATCTACTTATGAGTGAGCATGCACCCTAAAGATTTAAAGTAGAGCTGACTGATTCTTTTTCATATATAAAAGTTTAGATTTGTGACTACTTTAAGATTCTTTATAAGATTAAATTTCAAGATGAGTAATAAAGTGATTAGTCCTTTTTTTTTTTTGGTAACTGCAAAAGACAGCCTGCCAGTAAAATACCTGACTGAGAAGGATATTTTCCTTTCCTACACAGTTAACCTATAACAAGTTGCTTGGGTTTGAATGTATGTGAGTTCTTGGGATAATTTGTTTTTCACCTGTAATACGCAAAATGTTTAATCATGTTAAGGGATACAGAAAACATGCTGTTTTTTACTTGCAGTTATTGTAATCATTCACTTGAAGAACAGAATGTAACCATATTGTAATTTTCATATTGCCTGAAAGATTTTGCTGGGGTATATAAGTTTTAAGGGAAAGAATAAAGAGAGAGTTTAAATGGGTTAGAAGGAGAACATCGAGAATGAGAGAGTTAAATGGGAAACATCAAGAGTAAAGATAGAGTTAGAAGAAAGACATCAAGAGAGGCAGAAGGGACATTTCTGGATAGAGATAAGAAAAGAGAAAAAGAATACAGAATGAAGAATAAAGAAGGAAATCATCAAGAGAGTGTGTGAATGTCTTTCCCCTAACTCCCTCAGACAAAAACGCCTAGTACACTTGAACTCTGTGGATCCCCTTTCAGGCCTGCGCTGTTGGGGGATGGCCCCCCAGGCAGTGATAATGAAGATTCTTTGATAGGAATGAGACATACTTATTTTGGGCAAAATAATAACATATTTATAATGCAGTTAAAACTTATATTGGTTTAGGAAATTGTCTATAGTGGAATCCTCTCTAGGGTCCAAGATCTCACTCACCATCTACCATCGCATAATTGGCTAGGCTAGGTTTACTATGTCAGACAAGAATCCCTTCCTGTTGCACAGGCCTCAAGTCAAATTAAACAGCTGTTGGTCACCACCAAGATATAAGTGACACTATTGCACCATTGGTGGGGATCTTGCCATATAGTTCATTTTTGTGGTTTATAGGCTTTACCCCTGAGTAGGACTGTTGATTAGTTTTCTCTTTGGCAGCTTGTATAGTACATTTAGGTACTATGAGAGCTAGTCTTCAGGGAGGAGGATTACAGGTCAGTTTTAGTTAGATTCCTTCAAGTCCTGTGTCTGAAGTATGTGGTGTCTTCGGCAATAGGGTTTTACCTTCAAGTTCTGGGAAGAAACAAACAGCAATGGCAATAACCTATATTGTTATGAGTCTCTTGGACTCCCCTAACCAAAAACTAAAGGGAGGTTTCCCATGTTTAGCACTAGGTTTTTGTTAGTCTATGGCTCTGAAAAACACATATTTTTATATCTATCTATCTATCTATCTATCTATCTATCTATCTATCTATCTATCTATCTATCATTTTACATCCTGGCTGCAGTTTCCTCTCTTTCCTCTTCTCCCAGTACTTCCCCCCACCCTCAACCTGTTCCCACCCCCCAATCCACTCCTCCATTTCTGTTCAGGAAAGGACAGGTCTCCCCCATGGGTATCAACAAAATATGGCATATCAAGTTGCAGTAAGCCTAAACACCTCCCTTTGTATTAAGATTGGGCAAGGTGACCCAGTACGAGGAGTAGGGTCCTAAAAGAGTCAGAGATATCCTCTGCTCCCACTGTTAGGAGTCCCATAAGACCACCAAGCTACACAACTGTAACATATATGCAGAGTGCCTAGGTCACTTCCATGCAGACTCCCTGGTTGTCAGTTCAGTCTATATAAGCTCCCTCGAGCCCAATTGATTCTGTGGGTTTTCTTGTGGTGTTTTGATTCCTCTGGCTCCCACAATCCTTTCTCTGCCCCCCTTCTTCTGCAGGATTCCCCAAGCTCTGCCTAATGTTTGACTGTGGGTCTGCATCTGTTTCCATCAGTTGCTGGATGAAGCCTCTCTGATGACAATTGGACTAGGCACCAATCTATGAGTATAGCAGAATAGCATGAAGCATCATTACATTAACTTTTTTTAAACTCCAGTCATGTTTGGTTCTACCCTAGGTCTCTAGGTCATCCAGCTTATAGTGCTCCAGGCAGTGTCAGGAGTGGGCTTGTTCTCCTGACATGGATTTTAGACTGGACCAATCATTGGTAGGCCACTTCCTTAATCTCTAGGTCATCTTATCCCAGCACATCCCATAGGCAGGATGGACTGTAGGTCGAAGATTATGTGGCTGGGTTGGAAAGTTTTGTCTGGTCACAGAAAATGACCAGTTCAGGCTCCATATCTGCTATCGCTAGGTGTCTTAGCTGAGGTCATCTTTGTAGATTCCTGGGAGAGTCTCTTGCTCCAGGTTTTTACCTGATCCTGAAATGCCCCTCTCTTCCAGCAGTCTCTTACAGTACTCTCCCCCTCTGCCTGCCCTTCCCCCACAACCTGATCTCTCATGTTTCCATCTCCACTCATGGAATCTCATCTATTTCCCCTTCCCAGGGAGATGTAGGCATCCCCTCTTGAAATCTCCTTGTTACCTACTCTCTGTGGGGCTGTTGATTGTAGTATAGTTATCCTTTATTTTACAGCTAATATCCACTTATGAGTGAATACATACCGTGTTTGTCTCTCTGAGTCTGGGCTACCTCATTCAGAATGATTTTTTTTTTGCCTGCAAATTTCACGAGGTCGTTTTTGTTGTTGTTGTTTTTTGTTTTGGTTTGTTTTGTTTTTTAACAGCTTAGTAATACTCTATTGTGTAAATGTATCACATTTTCTTTATCTATTCCTTGGTTGAGGGATATCTAGGTTGCTTCTAGGTTCTACTACAAATAAATCTGCTATGAACATAGTTGAGCAAGTGTCCTTGTGAGCATCCTTTGGGTATATGCCCAAGAGTGATATAGCTGGGTCTTGAGGTAATTGATTCCCAATTTTCAGAGAAAATTGATTTCTAAAGTGACTGTTCAAGTTAGCACTCCCACCAGCAATGGAGGAGTGTTCCCCTTGCTCCACATTCTCTCCATCAAGAGCTGTCACTTGTGTGAAAATACATATTTTTAAGTAAACATAAATCTAGCCAAGGAAGTGAAAGACTTTTTTTTTGTTGTTGTTTTTGGTTTTTTTGAGACAGGGTTTCTCTGTGTAGTTTTTTTGGTGTCTGTCCTGGATCTCGCTCTGTAGACCAGGTTGGCCTTGAACTCACAGAGATCTATCCACTTGGCTCTGCCTCCTGAGTGCTGGGATTAAAGGCGTGCGCCACTGACACCTGGTGTGAAAGACTTCTATAATAAAATTTTTAAATCTGTGAAGAAAGAGACTGAAGACACTAGAAGATGGAAGGTCTCCCATGCTCAGGGTTGGTAGAATTAATATTGTGAAAATGACCATCCTACTAAAAACAATGTACAGGTTCTAGACAATCCTAACAAAAATCCCCATCACAGAAAGAGAAAAGGAATTCTAAAATTCACATGGAACCACAGAAGACCCCCAATAGCCAAAAAAATCCTGAACAAAATGCACAATGCTGGAAGAATTACCATACTAGATGGTCAAGCTATAGTACAGAACTATAGTATTAAAAACAGTACAGTACTGGCAAATTAACAACAATAACAAAACCAGATATGTAGTCAATGGGACAGAATAAAAGATTCAAACATTAACGCACATAACTACAGTCATCTGATGTCAGAAATGAACGCTGTAGAAAAGAAAGCATCTTCTACAAATGGTGCTGGGACAATTGGATATCTACATGTAGAAGAATAAGATTAGAGCAATATCTACCACCTTGCACAAAAACTAGCTCCAAATGGACAAAACATCTAGTGTGAAAACTGAATTGCAGAAACTGCTAGAAGAGCATACGCAGTAACCTACAAGATATATGGACTTACTGAATAGGACTACATTCTCTCAGGAATTAAGGCAAACAACTGAAAAATGAGACCTCATAAAACTACAAAGCTGCATAGAAATAAACAATAAAGAGAGTGAAGAGGAAGCCCACACAGTAGGAGATAATCTTCTCTTGCTATACATCTGACAGAGGATTAATAACCAAGATATACAAAGAACTCACAACATAGAGTCAAAAAACAAACAACTCATGCAAATGGGGTGTGGATATGATCAGAAAGTTTTCACACATACAAAGAAAGAAAAGAACAGGAAAGAAAGATAACTAAGAAATACCTTTTAAAGTGTTCAGGCCAGGTGGTGGTAGCACACTCCTTTAATCCCAGCACTCAGGAGGCAGCCTGGGCTACAAAGCGAGTTCCAGGAAAGGTGGAAAGCCACACAGAGAAACCCTGTCTCGAAAAACCAAAAAAAAAAAAGTGTTCAACATCCTTAGCAATTTAGGAAATGCAAATTAAAATTACTTTGAAATTTCATCTTACCGCAGTGAGAAAGAATAACACCAAGAAAACAACTGACAATAAATGCCGGCCAAGATGTGAGAAAAGGGATCCCTCATTCACTGTTAGTGAAAGTGCTAACTGGTGCAACTACTAAGGAAATTAGTGTGGAGAATTCTCAAAAAAGCTAAAAGTAGATCTGCCATATGGCTCAACTGTGTTATTTCTTGACAAATGCCCAAAGTGCTCGATTTCCTACTCCACAGATACATGCTCAGCCATGTTTAGTGTTGCACTATTCGTAATAGCTAGGAAATAGAGACAACCTAAATGTCCTTCAATATATAAACGTGATACATGTGTACAATAGACTTTCTTTTTCCGTAAAAATTGAATTATACTGTATATACTATTTTACATACTTACTTTGCACTCAATTATTCAGGATAATCTTTTTACAATATCCTTAAAATTATGTGAGCTGAGATTATTTGCCAGGGTCTAACTGGGTAAGTCATCCTGATCCTAGCCGCTGTGCATCTTTCCCATGCCCCCAGGTCCCACATTCAGTGCCCTGGCCTAGTTTGGCTGCTGCTACCTTCACCACCCCTGACTTCTAGGCTTCTGCTTGGACCTTCGCTGCCTGCCACCAACCTACATGCCCCTATCATGTCACATCAAACCTTTCCACCCATCCAGATCCTGCACAAACTTTGGCAGAGTCTGGTCAGGTGAATTTGTCTGATTCTGCCTGCCATACTCCTCCCCCAAGCCCCAGAACTACTCCTGCAGACTTATACCAGGATGCACATCCTGCAGGCCAGACCAGTCTGCTATATGTACCTGACTTCATTCCAACTAAGCCATATCCATTCTGCAGGCCTAACCAAGGCCACCCATCCTGTATTTTGCCCCAATCTGCACTGTCAATGCCAAAGAACTAACACAAGAAGTCCACATGCGCAGATCACATAGAAAAATACAAACAGTAGGAAAGATCAAGGCAGTATCTCCCTCCTCAAACTGTCATATAGAAATGTTTACCAATGATAATTTCCTAGATGAACTCCAGGTCACAGAATTTAAAACAATGATCGGATACTTATAAAAGAAGGAAGTTGGATTCACTCCATATAAGTCAATAATCAGGAAAATGCAAATGAAGCAAGAACATTCTCCTTTTTTGTTTTCTTTCTACACAATCTCACTCTTTAGCTTAAGCTGACCTTGAACTCACTATATAGAACACACTGGCCTATGACTCATGTTGATCTTCCTGCCCCAGCCTCTTGAATGCTGGGATTCCACATGTAACCTACAATAGCCAGTTAGAATAGCTAACACTGCCTTATCATTTATGTTGGAAGTGCTTTTTGCTTCATGTTACTCAGGTTCCTTCACCATATATCTTACAACTTACAGATACACAGATATTAAAATAAGGGGAATGAAGTTATACATCAGAAGCCACAGCCTGAACACAGATAGTGGACTCCTCATGCTGTCATTGAGCAACTTCTAAAAGTGATGATTCTGAAAAAAAATTAGCACTTTCATGAATTGCTGGTGACAGTGAGTGAGAACTTTTCAGAAAGATTATTTGGAAATGTGTATTAAAAGCCTTACAATGCCCAAATATATAAGTATACCTTGGAGGGGCCATCAGTTTGAGAGGGTGGGGAGACAGGAGAGAGACTGGAGGAAGTGGGCATGGGCAGTGTTGGAAGGAGGGAAGTGATAGGATGGAGTGTTGTAATTAGATTTTAACCCAAATTTTAAAAATTGTGAAGACAAAAATCCTTAGAACAATTCTGTAACCTGGACATTTTATGATTATTACTGCATCCCAGGTGAGCAGTCACAAAAGTGACCTGTGTAGAGGCTGTGATTACAGCAGAAGGCAACTTCGGCTGTATTGAAGAATAATTGACTGAAGCAGGTTTGAACTTTGAGGAAGTTTATGATGTCGCATTGCTAGCTGATTGGGGCTGAGAGACTTAGCAAATAAATGATGTCACCAAACACACAAGTTCTCTCTCTCTCTAGCCAAATTTTGCCATGCCAGGTGTGAGTTTCATCCTAAAGCTGGGTATTTCTCTCTCGTGTAACCAGATGGTTTAGGATTATGGTAATTGTGGCTACATTTGTGTAGCTAGAGTTTTCCTGCCTGGCCCACAGTCAGGACAAATCTCTCTCACCTGCCAGTCCCACAGCCTTTCAAACCCAACCAAGTAAACACAGAGGCTTATTTTGCTTACAAACTGTATGGCCGTGGCAGGCTTCTTACTAACTGTTCTTACAGCTTAAATTAACCCATTTCTATTAATCTATACCTTGCCACGTGGCTCGTGGCTTACCGGTATCTTCACATGCTGTTTCTCATCGTGGCAGCTGGCAGTGTCTCTCTGACTCAGCCTTCCACTTCCCAGCTTTATTCTCCTCCTTGTCCCGCCTACACTTCCTGCCTAGCCAATGGCCAATCAGTGTTTTATTTAATAACTAATCAGCAACACATTTGCCATACAGAACATCCCACAGCACTTCCCTTTTTTTTTTCAGAAAGGAAGGTTTTAACCTTAACAAAGTAAAATTACATATAATTTGGGAATTTGGGCGTAGCTTCTCTTACTACTTCCTGCTGGAGGGGGGTGCTGTATCTTATGGGGAAACAAAGAAAATTTTAGGATTATGGAATAGTCCATGAGGCTGTATCGTCTGAGCCAGTTGCCTTGAAACCATTCTGGATGTTGGATCATCTGGGCCATGGTGTCATAGGAGACCTTTCAGGGGGTCTTGGCTGGTCAAACCTGATGTATCTTAATCTTGAACAAATCCATAGCCTCTGGCTTTCTGTGGAAACAAAAGAGACTCTTTTCCAAAGCAACATATCCTTATATCCAAATTTTGAAGTCAAGGTACCTTTAAAGTATACATTTTGACATAACTCAACAGCTTTTACAATCAAATGTTTTTCTGCAGTTAAAAGTCCCAAAGACAACACAATCCAGATTCTCTGTGTAATACTCATCTTTACGTGGCTTATTTTTTATATTAATATTACTGTCTCTTTAAAGACTTTATTTTTAAAACTATGTATTTGTTTATATAACTTTATATATCACCTTTTTTGTCTCTTTCAAGCCTACGTATATTTTACACACACTATAAACTATTACATCTGAATCTGTCTTATTGTGAATCTGTTGCTTTAAACTGCAGCAGCTGTGGCTGCTGGCTCCGCCCACCTCAGCTTCCCAACATGGCTGTGGTTTACCGCCAGCTCTGGGAGCTATCGTGGGTCTATGCTTTTATCCAAGCAGCAAGTAGCCCAGAAACCTCTTTTTTTTTTGTTTTGTACTAGAAAAGGCTAAATCCACAACACAGCTTAATGTGCCACTTGCAGAGGCCTCATTCCCGCCATACAGCAGGTCGAGCGCGCACTCTAGGAACCCACCAGTAGCTCAAACAGGCAGCTGCCGCTCATTTGAGAGAGACAATTAGGAACTGTTTTTAGCTCCGTTTTAGAATCTTTTTTTTCTCAGGTTTTAGGTGGAAACTCTTGCCACCACGTTGGACGCCACATTTGTTTTTATTTCTGTCCCTCAGGAGATGAGGGACAAATCTTTCTTGCCAATTATGGGATGAAAAAGCCATCTCTTACATATGATTGATCCATTAGAAGATGGTTGGTCATTTACAGCCAATAATGGTCTCCAAGTAAATTTTATGTCCTGGCTCATCCAGAATAGTTAAGCTCTGTCTCTTTAAATGAATCGGGAGTAGGATGGTGAGGGATGCATCTGGATGGCTGTGCTGTTGAGGAAGAATGGAAAAACTGATATTGGATAACTGTATACTACACTAGGAGTCTCAAAACTGGGAATGGCCCAGGATAGTTTGGACCCTCAAAGAGGTCTCTGGGCAGGAAGTAAATGGCAGCAAGAAGACAGGCCAAATAACTTTAGGAAGGAAAGAAGGTAAGGCATAAACAACTGAAGTAGTTCAGACACTCAGGGAGAGGAATCAGAAGGGGAGAGAGAGAAAGAGCATATGAACTAATTCAGCATAAGATCCTTATGTGATAGAAATCTAAGGAATTCGTGGGACCCTGGAAGCAAAAACCAAAAAAGGGTTCAGTTCAATCAAGTTACCAGGTACGATAAGGCTTCTTCTCATTCAGGCTAAATGGAATTCATGTGTCTGCACCCACATAAAACCTACAAAAATATTGAGCTGGACCAAGTAAAGGGAACTCCGAGGAGAAAGTCTTTACAGTTGTCCCTGTTGTCACCTACACAAAACCTCTTTCTTAGAATGTTGTCCTCCTTGAAGGACCAGTTCCAGATGCACTAGGCTCATCTTTTCCTCCAGAAGTAGGTAGAAAGTAGGCATGGAGTGCCATTGCACAAGATCCCTGGAAAGAGAGCACTCTGGTTGTCTTAGCTTCAAATCTCGTCAGGGTTTTCAAAGGCTTTCTGGGCATTGTTTGTTCATTTAGCAGGTTCATAGCATACACACTGTCTTAGAGGTTCTATTGCTGTGAAAAGACACCATGACAAAGGCGACTTTATAAAGGAAAATATTTAATTGAGGTGGCAGCTTACATTTTCAGAGATTCAGTCCATTATCATCATAGCGGGGAGCATGGTGACATGCAGGCAGACATGGTGCTGACTATATTTTGGCTTGCAGGCAACAGGAAGTGGTCTGTCACACTGGGTGGTATCTTGAGCATATATGAGACCTCAAAGCCAGCCTCCACAGTGACACACATCCTCCAATGAGACCACAACTACTCAAACAAGGCCATGCTTCCTAATAGTGCCACTCCCTTTGGGGGCCATTTTCTTTCAAGCCACCACACACACCATAGTATAAGCTATTCTCCTTCCTTCAGTCTACCTTTCTAGGACTCTTCCCTACCAAAGATATTCAGTATTACTCATCTCTCAAGGTCCAACCCATCATCTTCCCTCATGACAATTTTACTGAGTCTATAGATCCTCCCCTTCTTTGACTCCAATTTATCTGACAGGACCTTATAGCTTGAAATTATTTTTTTTCTAGAAGTTGTTATACCCACCCAGGTGCCATATGTTTCCTATGTTCACTCTTACCCCATGAGTAAGGTCATGGATAATATTTTGTAATTGTTTTCCACCTTTCATAGACCTTTTAGGCCATTGAGTGATCTGTGACTTGGTTTCTCTGTTTCTCTGCTTGCCATTTCTTAATCCAGCCTCCATAAGGAAATGAGTATACTCCTCCTCTTGGATATATCCACTAAATGTCTCCATTGCACTCAAATACTTATTACAGATTAAATATTTGCCATAGTGTTCAGGTCCTGCAAAACCTGGACCATGGCCACCCAGCTAAAACCGCCACTTCACCCCTCCATTGCTAAGCTCCAGTTACACTAGTGTTCTTTGGCTCTTAATGGCCAGGTGCTTCACTGTCATTGAGGCTGATTGTCGGTTGTTTATTCTTCTGTTAGGCTGACTACCCACCTGCATCTTCTACTTACCATTTAGATTAGTGCCTGCTTAAAGCCCTCCTCTCGCTTTCTGGTCTAAATTGCTATGTTGTCATCACACAAATTCCTAGAGCTGAGCTAAGGATACAGTCTGTGGGTAGAATGCTCGCCTAGCATGCATGAAACTCTGGGTTCAATCCTCATCCCTACATAGTGTGGTGGTACACACAAGTAATCTTAACACTTGGGATGTGAAGGCAGGAGGATCAATGATTTAAGGTACTCTTCAACTGCACAGCAACTTTGAGGCCTGTCTGGTATATTGCATCCCTGGAAAGAGAGCAGAGGGGGAAACCCTGCAGCTGGGTGTGGTAGCAAGTAATCCCTGCACATCAGAGCTGGAATCAGGAAGATGACTACCATTTTATGGTCAGCCAAGATCCACAGTGATATGCTGATTAAGTACAAATCTGCACCTCTTATTGATCACTTTGTTTACTGTATCCCTCCTCCACTGGATTGTATATTCCATGATTATAAAGACCACACCTATCTTACTCACCTGGGAACAGCCAGCAACTAGTCCAGTGCCTGGCAGTTGATATACTCCAAGAAACTGTAGGTCAAAAGGTAAGTTGTTATTTTTACATTAAAACTGCATTCATCTCAACAAAAATAAAGAATGAGTCAGGCAAACTGCTGAAGGTAGAGCATTAGAATCAGCCTAAGGAATGGCTCACTTTCCCATTTTATTATCTAACTTATTTTTGGATCTTGAGTAAGCACAAAAATATGGCTGAGGTGTTGACCTGAGATTTTTCCACTAAAAGGCCCCCATCTGATCCTGGTCGAGATCTTCTCTCCTGAGGGAACCCCTCCCTGTCTCTGCCTTGAATCCCCAGGCTCCTATGCCCCTGCTCCGACTCTAGTCTCTCTCCTGTTCTTTCGTTAATATCCTTGGGTGATTAACTCACTAAGAGCATGCAGACTTCTTCGTGATGTGTCTTCATTCCCCTTATCTGCTAATAAATGTGCAAATGTTCTCTGCCAGGTCATTATGTTATTTAGTTTATCCAAATAGGACGATGAGTCTCTATGACTGCATATGAGTGTTCTGGGTTGATTTAGGGGAACTTGTTCTCCAGATGGGTCTCTATGTAATTCATTTCTTTGGCTAGTGTTTTCTAGAACAATTCATGCAATCTCTTATTTATTGGATATTTATGCAGTACTATATAACAAACACTGGAAGGTCAAATCAATAACTCTATGTTAAATCTTTTTCTGAGCCCAAATTCTGTTTTGTTCAGATACTAAGGTTATTATTCTAATGTTTGATTTCTTTTAGTTCCAGACTATAATTTTCTAATTTTGTTTAGGTTTTTTTTTGTTGTTGTTGTTCTCCTGATGCTAGATTTTGTGATCCCTTTTCTTTTTGCAATGTGTAGCTGATGAATGTCAACAGTTACACGACTTCTGTTATTGCTGAAACAGGAACATGAAGGAAAAGTGGGAGAGCCAATGGTTTCAATCCTTTAGCTTCTCCTTTTTCTCCAATTATAGCTTCTCCATTTCATGCTATAACTTACCTCTTTGAGTAATGAGTTCCTCTGATTCTTGTGCCTGTTCTTGTGGCTCTTTTCCTTCTGTTTGTTTGCCTTGTGCAACCAACTTTGATGTGATGGTTTTTGTTTCACCTTATATTTTATTTTGTCATGTTTGGTTATTATCTCTTAGAAGCCTGTACTTTTCTAATGAGAGATAGAAAGGCAGTGGAGGTGGCGATGACCTGGGAGGAGTAGAAGGAGCGGAAACTGTAATCAGGATATATTGTGTGTGAAAAGAATCTATTTTAAATAAAGGGAAAAAAAGAAATTCATTACAGTCTAACTGTCCACAGTCTTTCTCTACTATCTGTGTATACTTATTTCAAACAAATAGGTTCTGTTTGGTACATGAGGTCCAAACTCACCTTACTAAAAATAGATCATCGGGTTGTCACTTGATGCTGCTGAGTTTTGTTTCTTTTGTTTTTCCTAATTAAGTATATTTTTCAAATCCTGGTTTCTAATCTGGAAGCCAAGAACTTAAGTCTGCATTTTTATTCTAAAAAGAATTTAAATCTGATAAAACAATTAACTGTTCTTAGACTATCAGAAAATTGAAGTCACAAAACAAATCATTCCCCCAAATGAGAGAAAAACAGTTGTATTCTGAGAATAACTGGATCAGAAGTCCAAAAGCATAAACCACCTCCAGAAACAGTGGAAAAATTCAAATCGTTGTTGACAAATAGATGAAATTTGTATGTGCTTTTCATTTTCACATTATCTTTTTCTTCATTACATATTTTGTGTTGGTGAGTATTCACTGTACAAAGTCCTGGCTAGGTGATTAAAGAAATTTCTTTCAAGAATATCTCATGTTAGTACTTTGACCATACTCACCCCTAATACTCTTCCCTTTCCTCTCCTCCTCTCTTATTATTTATTTATTTATTTATTTATTTATTTATTTATAGACAGGGTTTGTCTGTGTAACCTTGGCTGTCACGGAACTCTGTAGACCAGGCTGGCCAGAGCTCACAGAGAACTGCCTGCCTCTGCCTGCCTCCTGAGTACTGGGATTAAAGCCTGCACCACCACTGCCTGACTCCTCCCCTCCTTCTCATTCTTCCCATAATTCCCCTTTCTTCTCCTAGTTTTTCTCTGATTTCATGTTATTACACACACACACACACACACACACACACACACACACACACACACACGAACACACACATGCACGGTTTTTATATATCTGTGTAAAATCCAAGTTCTATAAATGAGAGGAGAGGTGATATTTGTCTTTCTGAGTCTGACTTATTTCATTTAATTTGATAACTTCCAGTTGCATCTATCTCCAGCACATGACATAATTTCATTCTTCTTCATGGCTAAATAAGACTCCATTGTGATATTTCATGAGTGTAGTTACTGAAATTTCTAGGAAATACAAGTTCCTCTGGATCTTACAGTATTTCTGTCCCCATTTCCATGATGATTCATAAGCCTTAGGTGCAAGAATTGTTTTGTAGATATATTCACTGGGACTGCACTCTACAACTCTGCATTTTGATTGATTGTGGCTTTCTATAATGGTGCCAGAAGTTATTATAAAGTCTCACCAACATGGCCTAAAAATGACCTGAAAAGGATGACACTAACAGACAGGCATATGTGGATGGGGGTGGGGAAGCTCATGAAGCCTCAAGCCTAGACAAAGAAGAAATGTAATTATACCATAGTCATAAAAAATAAAGAAATAATTTTTAAAACTCCACTGTACATATAATCCACATTTTATTTATCCATTTATCTGTTGTTGGACACATAATCTGATTCCATAATTTGGATTTTGTGAATAGTGTTGTAATAAATATGGATATGAAATTATTTTTATGGTATATTGACTTAGTGTTATAACCACATGTGATATAACTGGGACATAAGCAGTCTGTGTGTGTGTGTGTGTGTGTGTGTGTGTGTGTGTGTGTGTGTGAGAGAGAGAGAGAGAGAGAGAGAGAGAGAGAGAGAGAGAGAGAGAGAAAGAGAGAGAGAGAGAGAGTCATTTGACTGTGCCATGGCTTCCATTTGGAGGTTAAAGGACAACTTTCAGAGTTGGTTCTCTTCTTCCACCATGGGTTTCAGGGATTGAACTCAAACCATCAGGCATGTGAAGGAAATAGCTTTACCAACAGAGCCATCTCACTAGTCAGCCTCCATATGGTAACTCCAACTGTAGGTTTTGAAAAACTCTCATGATGATTTTCATAATGGCTGGAAAAAAATCTATATTCCCACCAGCAGTACAAAGGGCTCTTTTTTCTGCATTCTTACCACCATTTGCTATTATTTATTTTCTGAATAAAGTGAGATGAGATCTCAATTGTGCATTTCTCTGATGGCTAAAGATGGCGAACACTTTTTCACATTTTTATTGAAATTTGTGCAGGAATGCCTTTACTGGGTATAAAGAAGCCAAATACAAAACAGATTGCAGTATACTATTCCTTTTTTACGAAAACTTTAAAAATACAGACATGTTAATCTGATGTTTTAACAGAATAATAGTGAACTATGCACAGAGGTGGTTGAACAACAGTGGACTATGCACAGAGGTGGTTGAACAGCAGTGGACTATGCACAGAGGTGGTTGAACAACAGTGGACTATGCACAGAGGTGGTTGAACAACAGTGGACTATGCACAGAGGTGGTTGAACAGCAGTGGACTATGCGCAGAGGTGGTTGAACAGTGAACTACAATAATGGCATCATTCTGTGTCTGTATAGAGGTTATAATTCATTTGGGGCATTCATTAAAATTACTGCTGATGCACTCAAGTTCTTAGAATCTGCAGGCTTCATTTTTTTCAGAGATTAAGAAATTTGTTAAGGATTTTTACTTTACACGTCAGGTGGAAGCTTCCTGATGCTAACGATGCACTTTTTTTTTTTTTTTTGTCAACTTAGATCTGTGAAGACTTTAGGGAAAATTTGTAAATTGTCTTGCATTTGAGTCTGAAGTCAAAAAACAATAGTTACTCATTTCGGACCAGAAAATCCAGGCATGACTGCCCAAGCCTAACGGTAGGTTTTTTTTTTTTTTTTTTTTTTTTTTTTTTTTTTTTTTTTTTTGCAATACAATTCAGTTCTACATATCAGCCACGGATTCCCTTGTTCTCCCCCCTCCCGCCCCCCTCACTTTCCCCCAGTCCACCCCCCATTCCCACCTCCTCCAGGGCAAAGCCTCCCCCGAGGACTGAGATCAACCTGGTAGACTCAGTTCAGGCAGGTCCAGTCCCCTCCTCCCAGGCCGAGCCAAGCGATCCTGCATAGGCCCCAGGTTTCAAACAGCCAACTCATGCAATGAGCACAGGACCCGGTCCCACTGCCTGGATACCTCCCAAACAGATCAAGCCAATCGACTATCTCACCCATTCAGAGGGCCTGATCCAGTTGGGGGCCCCTCAGCCATTGGTTCATAGTTCATGTGTTTCCATTCGTTTGGCTATTTGTCCCTGTGCTTTATCCAACCTTGGTCTCAACAATTCTCGCTCATATAAACCCTCCTCTTTCTCGCTAATTGAACTCCCAGAGATCCACCCGGGGCCTAGCCATGGATCTCTGCATCCATATCCCTCAGTAGTTGGATGAGGTTTCTAGCACGACAATTAGGGTATTTGGCCATTCCATCACCAGAGTAGGTCAGTTCGGGCTGTCTCTCAACCATTGCCAGCAGTCTGTTGTGGGGGTATCTTTGTGGATTTCTGTGGGCCTCTCTAGCACTTTGCTTCTTCCTATTCTCATGTGGTCTTCATTTACCATGGTCTCCTATTCCTTGTTCTCCCTCTCACAACCTAGATGCCCTTCAACTGAAGAATGGATAAACAAAATGTGGTACATATACACAATGGAATACTACTCAGCAGAGAAAAACAATGACATCATGAGGTTTACAGACAAATGGATGGATCTAGAAAAAATCATCCTAAGTGAGGTAAACCAAACTCAGAAAGACAAACATGGTATGTACTCACTCATAGCAGGATACTAGATGTAGAACAAGGATGACTGGACTGCTACTCACATCACCAGGGAGGCTACCTGGAAAACAGGACCCCAAGAAAGACACGGGGATCGCCCAATGACGGAGAAATGGAAGAGATCTACATGAACAGCCTGGACATGAGTGGGGGTAATGAAGGGCGAGGGTGGAGGGAAAGAGAGCTTGGGGGAGCAGGAGATCCCCGCTGGATTAACGGCAGATTTTGGAAGATCTCAGCTCAGCTCTTGTATTTGTTTCTCTTGCCCATGCTCAGCACTATAAACAAACAATCAAACAACAAAACCATGGAGACCCTAGTGTGCAGCTATGTTTGGCAACAACCAAGTTATAGGATTGCTCCCTGATTCAGAAACACGGTGTCTGAGGCTATCACAAACTTGGCTGCAGCCGTCTCTCTGCCATTACTCACTGAATCCACGTGGCCCCCATTTCACCAACACCAAATGATCCTAAGCACAAAGTGCACCTGCATGCATTTCTCTTCAGGTTCACGAGACAGGACAGTTTACATTTGTATCAACATACAAGAGTCCACATCAGTGCAAATTTTCTAAGGCTGATATTTTACTGAATTAATTTACTAGTAAATACAATAATCTACCTCAATATCCTATACCTATCCATTCCCCTTTTTCTTTTCTAAAGGAGAATACTGAGTCCAAATTTTATTGCTCCACTCCCAACCCTACAACCATCCATCCATAACCCTGAGAAAAATGAAACATTTGGGAGTGGGGCGTCATTTTCTTATAATTACTTCCTGCTGTTTAGGGGGCAATGGTATCTCTGTGAGGTCCTGTAAGAAAGATTAGATAGTTAGGTCTCAACAGGGCTAGCCATAGAGTCTGCAGCCAGTCTCAGTAATGTGTAAGGTTGTCGGAGATTCTGGCTAGAAGTGTAGTATGATGGACCATCTCATCTTAGAACTGTTCTGAGGAGTTTTCAGTCCAAAGCTGATCACTGAGTAATGTTCTTAGGTACCATACCATCTTTCTGGACTGAGTAGAGTCATAGTTGTGGGGTCCCATCTTCCTTCTGGAGACTTCAGAGATTGCTATTGGGAAGACTTATTTTCACTGTGGAAAACTTGAACATTATTAATATCAAAACGGAAAGTTTAGATTTAAAGATGGCATGACATGTAAGAAAGGATTCTGAGAAATCAAGAATAAACATGGAGA